CGAACGCCTTCAGCTAAGTGATTCCATCAGAACTAATGTGGTTAGCATTCAATGTCGAACACTTACAGAGCTATTGATATTGAGGATTTATTTACCGCTACAGCCTCAACTTCGTTCTGATGTTTTACCCATGTTTAAGGGTGTTCCAATGCTGTCCTACCATGAACCGAACGATTATCTTGTTAGTCTTATGTCTTGTGTTTTCCCTCCACTTACGACTGGCCATTCAAACAGGAAGTCTAAGAAAATCTGAAAATAGACATCAGATCATTTACTATCGAAGTTTCCACTCCCTAAACCGAGGAGTTAATTACAACGAATCTCATCCAACCCACTTATTCAGTTTCAGTTTGGAAAGGACAGGAGGCTTGATGGCCTGTGTTAGTCCTGGCAATGATGGTCTCTCAGCTGATCCAACTTTCTTTTGAAGGAATCGACTGATTGAGCCTCAACCACGTGCTGAGGTAATGAATTCCACTCGTTGATTATTCGATGGGAAAGTCGGCAGTCAGCTGACAAGTAATTCGTTCTGGGCTTGTGAACTTTTTTGGAGTGTCCTCGTAGATTTTCTGTTTTGGAAGACAAGAAAAATGAGGGCATATCAGGTCCAAATTTGTCATTAAACAATTTGAAAACTATAATCAAGTCACCTCTGATTCTTCTATATCACAGCGGGAATAGGTTTAGTTTGGTCAGTCTAGTATCATACGGGAGCTTCGCTATTCCGGGAATCAGCCTAGTTGCTGTTCTCTGAACCCTTTCCAAGAGTTCACTGTCTTTTTTAGGCAGGGGTTAGCTGCTTGTATACAGTACTCAAGTTTAGGGCGTACGAACACTGTATACAAAGTCAAAAACATTCCTTAGCTTATATAACAGCCGGTTATGCGGAACTTTGTCGAAAGCTTTGCTGAAATCGATGTAAGCTACGTCTATAGGTAATTTTTGGTCCTTAAGAGCGCACCAGCTTTCACGAGCGACTAATAAGTTTGTGAGACAACAGTAACCTGTTCTAAAACCATGCTGCTTTTCGGAGAGGATCCGGTTTTCATCGAGATACTTTAACAGTTCCTTCCGAATAATCTTTTCTAAGATTTTAACAACCACACTAGTTAGGCTAATTGGTCGGTAATTCTCAGGCTTATGTTTTGTACCTGTTTTGAAGACTGGACTTACTATGGCGTTCTTCCAGTCTTTTGGTAGACGACCCTGGGTTACGGATAGATTAAAACATACACTTAAAGGGTTCGCAACAAAGTTAGCTAATTCCTTTAATAACCTAGGATGTAGTTCATCGGGTCCAGTGGATTTACCTATGTCAAGCTTAACTAGCAGACCAAAGACATCGAGTTCTTTAATGGTTACGCTGTCCAGTGCTTGTGTGGGTGGATTTTCATGGACTGGTGAGAAGGGTGTTTCTATGGTGCATACATCGCCAAAGTATTTAAAGAATACTTGAGCTTTGCCAAAGTCATCCTCTACTAGTGATGTGGTAGTACTGTCTCCCCATAGTGAAGGAACATTTCTTCTTTTTGTCCTTTGGTTTATATACGAATACAAGCGTTTAGGGCATTCTATGGATTCCCTAACGATTTTCTCTTCGTACAGCTTTCTGGCCTTACGGAGGGTTGAGGCACAGGTATTTCGAGCCTTTTGATACTGAGATTTTGCCTCGTCAGTCCCCAGTAACCTAAATCTGTCCCACATTTTCCTTCTTTTACGGAGAAGGATGCGAACCTCCCTACTGAACCACGGTGGGGAGTTTCTCGGTCTCTTAGGTGTAGTCCAAGGGATGTGGGGGGTGGTAACTTTTAAGTATAAATTCCAGAATGCGTCCCAAGCCGTTTCGATTGATGACTCTGGGTCTAATTTCCAATCTACTAATGATGCTGATTTCATGATGTCTGGTATGTTTGCTTTCCAGACGTTAGGTCTTGATTGAGCTGAAGCGTACTCTTGATCGACAGTTATATGGAAGTCAAAGCTTAAAACTGCATGATCACTTTTGCCTAGGGGTGGCATGTAATCCAGGTTTGCAACATCATCCTCATAATGAGTCAATATAAGATCTAGTAAGGATGATGCAGAACCCTGGTCGTCCCTAGTTGCTTCCTTCACGTGTTGCACTAGGGCACATGTGATTACCGCATCAACTAGTTCCTGTTCGAAGGAATTTGCTGACGATTCAGTCCGCAGATTTCCCCAGTCCACCATGGGTGCATTAAAGTCCCCTAGGATTAGACATCGATCACTTCGTGATAAAGTGTTGAGACTGCTTAGCAGGACTTCGTTTACCTCACAGCTTGGACTGCGATAGATCAAACTAAGTAGCAACTCTTGTCCCCTGCATTTCAGGCGGCAGCAAACTAATTCATACGTCCCACTCTCATGGGATACACTGTAGATAATGGTGAATGGAATAGCATTCCTAATGAATAGAGCTACTCCCCCTCCTTTACGCGTTTGTGTTCTATCGGCCCTTACTAATGTAAAACCCTCGAAATCAAGTTCCCTACTATCCATAGACGGCGTCAGCCATGTTTCTGTGACTGCGATTATGTCTGGCCTAGTTGAGTCAATCTGTACACCTAGTTACGGTAGCTTATTTAGTAGGCTCCGGGCGTTGGTATAACAGATCCGAAGCCTATTTAGGTGGTCTCGTGCTTCACCCAGAGTGGCTTCGGCATCATCCTCTGTCGAAGCCTCACAACCCGAAAATTTACAATTTTCAGGTCTTTTTCGCCAGCGTCTAATCTAAGCTGTAGTTCCTTTTCGGCTTCCCGTTTTTTAACACGGTCCGCCAACGTTAAATCCTTACGGAGAAAAACTCCTGAACCCTTTAATTTGTGTCCATTTTCTAAGATTAAGTCGAGTTCCTTTGGGGATTTGAAAACGACTTTGAGTACTCTAGACTGATTTGGTTTAAGATGCGCTAGATTTCCTAGTCTATACACCTTTAGCAAGGTGACTCCGGGGATGTTTTTGGGCATAACTTGGTTGAGTAGTTGTTTTATCAACACAATGTCATACTCAAAACGAGCTTTCGGTTCTAAGTTTTCACTCTCCTTGACTCTATGGAGAATGACTGATCTGTCGCTGTGATCAGAACTCGGCTCATCGACCCTTTTGGTGGGGGGTATGATTTCCTTTTACGTCATTTTGGCGTTTTTTTCTTACGACCCGTACCCAATCACTTTATTTTATATTTATCTGAATATACAAAGTCTGCTTATGTTCGTATTTATAATTATTAGTGTTATTAATATCATTATTGGTCTTTTGATACATTAGATATTCATTTCATCTCTTCTTGTCCTTCTAAACATATTTTATCCAAAGTCTACAATTAAAAACAAAAAACCCCTATGTTCCACTTAAATAATTTTTTTTTCCAAAATATTCACAACATATAACGTATAAAAATTTATATTTCATTATTCTTTGCAATCAATTATGACTATGATAGCATCATTCTAAATTATTATTATTGCACTAATGTTTATACTACAACCCGGTTTCACTCTGTATACTGTTACATAATTCTACACGTATTTATCCGAGTGCAGTAAAGGTTTATTATTATTCTTACTATTATTGTTATTATTATCATTATTTTAAAATTATTCGTTTATCTCAAAAGTCTATATCCATTACACTATTATGATCATGGTTGAACCCTTTCACTATGTGTTCATTTCTTTACTCTCTCCTTTTTTTTCCTTCTAAATAAATATTATTCTTAAGATTACGAAGCTTTGGATTAAGGCAATAACTTGTGTTACGCTGAATTAAAACTTATCAGTCTCTTTTTATCTTCACTATGTATACACACCTCATACACATTGATTATCTTTTGCACTTAATTGAAACTTTCAGAGCATCACCAAAAACTATGACTGTGCTTGCACAAACACTTATTCTAACGTCATATCTTACCGCAATAATAAGTTATTTACTTATTAATTTATTCTGCTTCATTTCATTTTTATTACTCGTTTTTGCTATACATACATAGTTGTTTATTCTTGTTCTGCGTTAAGATATTTACGTCTCCCGCGTCTCCTTTATTTCTATCTCCTTAGTTTCTTCCTTTCCTCCTTCAAAATCAATTCAAAATTCTTGCTAATTACACAGAACCTCATTTATTATTACTATTCTATTATTAATATTTGATTTTCCTTTTCCTTCCTTTCTCAAACATGGCATATGTATTGTTAACATTACTGAAAATTGTGTATTATTGCATTTTTGAAGAAACCCGAAATGGTTTCTTCACAGCACTTATGTACCCATAAGGTGTTTGTGAATAATAATAATAATAATAATGTTCTTTGGAGTGGCAACCACATTCGCGTCAGGCGTACTGTGGGATTCCGTGAGAGTCAGGACGACTTGGGAGATTGGGTCATCTTGCCGAGACACTTTTTTGCGGCATTTACTATTGAAATGGCCTCGGTTAACAGGCTATTTGCATCCAAACAGCACGGTTGACATAGCCATACACATCCATTTTTACCGAACCGCTTGAAAGCTGCAGGTGTTAGATTCGTGCAAACATCGTGGTACCAACCTTTGCACTCATTGCACTGCATGCCGCTATCAACAGGATATCGACATCCTGGGCGGTGGTAAATGCTTTTGTTGCATCTTCCAGTCATTTTAGGATGCGAAAGTGAGTGTTGACTACAAGTAGAAAAAAAACTATAAACAGTTAGGACCAAAGTACCGACAGACACAATGGAAAAAAAGGTACTCTGGAGTACCGACTATCAAACTATTTAGGATACCAAAGATAATACTCTAATACAATACTTTAACTGAAAGAAATTCAATCAAAGTATAAAAACAGTAGTCTTGATACGTTAATAACGATCAAAACAATAGAATTTACTCAACGAGGAAAAATACCATTGTCCTTTTTAAATAGCATCTTCTAATGATATATTCAAGGTGAGATTGAATTTTCACGTTGGTAGTTAGATTATATGCCTATTACCACTACCGACAACAGCGTCCGCGTAATTGGACATAGAACTCAGTAAAATTCTCAAGGCTATGTGATTAAGCGCCAAAGTTGTTCCAAGAAACGCATGATGAAGGAGTTTTCACCTACGAAAAAGCTGAAGAAAAGACTCAAGAAAATCCGCGAAAAAAACACCGAAAATCACATCGAAAGTGAGGATGCCGCGTTGGATAACCTAGAAGAGTCACAGCCTGGCACGAGTATCTCATTGTCGGGAAAATTTGAAGATTTACCTATATCAGAGCCAATTAAGCGTGCTGTCAAGGAAATGGGCTTCACTCATATGACCGATATCCAAGATAAATGTATTCCACAGCTTCTTGAGCACAGGGACCTGATGGCTTGTGCTAAGACTGGGAGTGGTAAAACACTAGCTTTCCTAATACCTGTTGTGGAACTGATGCTAAACTTGGGTCTGCAGCCTCGTAATGGTACTGGTGCTATAATAATTTCACCAACTCGTGAACTTAGTCTTCAGACTTATGGTGTGCTAGGAGTAAGCTTTTTAATTTTGTCAAAAGCATTTTATAAATAGGAACTCATTCAATTCACGAATTTACGAATCGGCCTTATTATGGGTGGAAGCAACCGACAAACAGAAGCTCAGAATCTTGAAAAAGGTGTGACAATTCTCGTTGCAACTCCAGGAAGGCTGCTTGATCATTTGTCCAACACAAAGTTCTTCCTCCGTCATAATCTTAAAGCCCTTGTAATAGATGAAGCTGATCGTTTGTTGGATATAGGTTTCGAAGTGGAAATGCGACAAATTATAAAACTTCTCCCGACGGTACGGCAAACAATGCTGTTTTCTGCTACATTGAACGAAAAGACGAAAAACCTAGCCAACGCTGCTCTAAAAGCTTCTTGTGTTATGGTCGGATCAGCTCCCGATACTGAAGCAACTGTTGAGGGATTAGAACAAGGGTATGTCGTCTGCCCTCCTGACAGGCGTTTTTGTCTACTGTACACATTTCTCAAGAAAAATAAAAGTAAAAAGGTAATTTGTGCATATTTCATGAATATCCGAATATTGTCTTTACCGTAATTATACATTCTTTCGTATATCTTTCGTTTCGTCACGTTGATGTATTACATAGAATCATTCACTTTGGATAATCAGTGATGAATACTAGAAACATACGCTTTACTGAGGAGATTTCTTCACTGTATGAAACTGCCGTAATTGGCTATAAATGTATCCATAGCTGACACTATTTTAACGAGACTTGATATTCCTGTGGTGGTTAGACTAAATGTATGGAAGACCTTTGAGCGACGCTAGACTGAGGATATCTACTTACTAACTAGGACTAAATGAGGGTTACATACCGGTACGAGGAATTAGAATTATGACGTACAGTTAATGACTAGAGTTAGAAACTTGATTCAGGGTTTTCATCGCGAACTGACATCATCTATAATGCCAAAACTGTATTTAGCCAAATCTATGGGTGGATTTTGCACCGAAATCCAAAGGTCATTGTTTAATTGGTTCGTCCACAAATTATAGCTTCGCCCAAAACTCATTTGAAAGCTTCTCCCTTCTTATTTCAGCCATTATCTTCGCTTGAATCCTTAAGACGAGCCTATCGTACGTCTAGTTTTGTTTAAGTTCAGATAGTAAACATGTGATGAGCAATATGGTGTTGTGACCAAGAATTGCGAATTAGTCAAGTATGTCCATAGATATAGCGTTTTTTTGGCATTAATAGTATCAATGAGGTTGAAAATTATTTTCACACTCCCAGTCACCCCATTTACTAATGAACAACCCATATAATTCTCTACAAATTTCAGATTATGGTTTTCATGGCTTCGTGTATGGAAGTTAAGTTTTACTACGAGTTACTGAACTTTGTGGATACTCCAGTCCTAGCCATCCATGGACGACAAAAACAAGCTAAAAGGACAAGCACCTTTCTTCAGTTTGTAAAAGCCGAATCTGCTGTTCTTTTGTGCACTGACGTTGGAGCGCGTGGCCTAGACATACCAAAGGTAGGTTTTCGACTGGTTTGCTTCTTTTGTTGAAACAATAGTACGACGAAAACGTCTAACAGTGGTTAGGCATACAAGACCGAAGGTCCCATGACAGTATCCTTCACTGAAAAAGCTTTTATAATAAATAAACTTAGCCTCGTGCTCGAAATCGGACCACGATTTGCGGTTTATTGCTACCTAAATCGACTAAGTTAATTAGGTAGGTGCCTGCCGCCAGAGCTCTCTTTAGAGTAAAATATTTTTCGTCAAGTACTGGGCAAAATGAAGCAAACATTGCGTAATTTTGCTTGGGGATAACGCTTACAAATATGCAGAGTCTGAGCAATCTGTGTACGAGTGTAAAAATGTTTAAAAGCATCCCTTCCGAAGTGTAAAATTTGATATAAGAAAATTGCGTCAGTATATAACATAGATGTAGAAGACAAACTGTATAGGCGTTCTGACCGCTTCGTCATAAATTTTACGTCGGCTTTGATTGGTAGCTTACAAGATCCCCCTGCAGATTTCAAGTTTTTTGTTGAATTTTACCAACATTTACTGCCAGTAAAATAGTCGTCTGTCCATTGAAGTGAGGATCAATACACAGCTACTCTCTGTGTAGATAGACGAAAGTTACTAATATATAATCATGTATGTCACTTTATGTGTATCAAACTACTGAGTGAATAACGCATAAACGATATTTCAGCTACTAGATAGAAGTAGTAAACTGGACCATGATGCTACTTCTATTTGAGGTGATTAGTCATGTTCCATTTGTTTAGCTACTAGTAAATATTGAACTTCAATGAGGACCCTGCTCAATATTCGTTGATTTCATTAATTTTCCGAACTATATTCTTTATGCTAAGCATCTTACTATTGGTGATGTTTATGTTTCGTTTACCATAGTTTAATGTTAATTGAATTATGGGAGATGTATTAATTGAGCGAATTTTCGGGGATCAAACTGTATGCAGTATGTTAATCCAGTGATATGATACAGCTGAATGATGGCTATTCATGAGACCGTACTGTTGATTTAAGCTCTTTAATGATTAGAAATCAAAAATAATACTACGAAGCAGGTGAATAGATTTTTATGCAATAAAATAACGCCCAAATACTAGACATAAACATAGTAGCCATTGTAGGAAATTAGCTCATTTTCCAATCAATTACAGTTTGAGTGTTAGGGTTAATTATCGGGCGTCGTCTCAGTGTCGTCGTTCTCAGCTAGCTTTATAATATCTTTTGGGCGCAATCGATCAAAAACACAGCTTTTTTCTGTCGGCTTTGTGCAACAGCACATAAGCAGATGCTAAAGAACTCTGCACTGTAGTGCGAGATACCAAGGTTGTAGTTCCATTTTAAATAAATGCATAGAAAACATGCATTCAAAACCAATATATCAGATGAATTTTCGGTACCTCACTGGAACAATTAGTGAAACCTTACTGTGCTGCTAAACCTGTGTGACATTGATTACCTTGACTTTTAGATACCTAAGCTAATAAACATACAAGTAGTCAAAATCGAAAACAACATTAATAGGCTATTAAAAACTAAGTGGATATATCGTTTTAGCATAGTTTATAAGTTCATCACGCTACATGATAGATCATAAACCATCCTTTTTTTTCTACAAGAGCTCACTCGTAGGGTCAGTAGATGTTAGAATTCTTTATCGAGTCATAAACACTTTCGGTCTGCTTTTCGTTGTCTACAATAGTATGTGTGAAAATTTCCTATAAAGTTGACGTACATTCCTGAAAACCAATCAGGTTAAATTCCTGACGCTTTTAACTATTCTTTACAATATGATAATATCTTTGGTTCTATGCATCAGCAGTGACGTTATTTAACTAGATTTACTTAGAACTTACGTCATCAATGGCGAAGGCGAGATATCCGTCTATCAATTAAGAGACGAGTATACTGCGCAGAAGTTCGCTCTGTTCTACTTTAAGGCTGTGAAACATGGTCATTAAGAGTAGAAGATACTCGTAGGTTACTAGTATTTGACCACAGATGCCTTAGAAATATTATTCGCATCTGCTGGGATCACTGGGTAAGTAATAATGAGGTTAGATACAGGATATTAGGGAGTGATGGTAAATCATTTAATGAAGTCATGAATCTTCATCGACTGAGATGGTTGGGCCACGTGTTACGTATTCCTGAACACCGATTACCACGACGCGCAATGCTGACTAGTATTGGTGATGGTTGGAAGAGAGTTAGGGGTAGCCAAACCAAAACTTGTCATCAGTGTTTAAAGTCACTAGCTAGCTGATGATAATATGTAAAAGAATGAGCAAATACGTGCTCAAACTTTTTTCTCTGGCGCTGAATATAGTTAAACATTATGATGAGGAATAAATCGTGAACCTTGACTGTGTACATATATAGAGAGTATCATTTAAGAACTGTTCGCAGTAGGTATTAAGGTCAAATTAGCTAGAAGAACGTTTCGGATGAAACTGATCAATAATAAAACGTCCTGAACATATACTATTGTCTCTTTTTCGGTACTCAATCTCTGAAGTGCTGCTTTTTAGAGTATGGTAGTGGGCTGGGAGGAATTTATTTTTTCAGTTTGGCATAGGGTAATTAGTATGTTTCTCACCATTATCAGGCCGCCACATATTCACTTACAGCTTCATGAGAACAGACCTATGCGTGCTACTGAGATACAAAAAGCATCTCGTCACTTTACTCATTCAAGGTTATGGCGACGATCAATTTCTTCTCTATTCCGTATGGCTTTATAAAGTCTCACTCATGGGTGACCTATATTATCATTGGATAATCAGCCATGAGGATATTGAGCCTTTTATCTCTGTGTATACTTAGACTTACAATAAGAAGTTGGCACAGTCCTACATGTACTTGTAGGGCCAGTGTTTAAAGTCACTAACTTCTAGTCCTAGCCATGTTGGTTGATGCAGACTAATTGTTTGAGGTCCGCGTGACTATGGTAACCAATAGTTGGAGACTGTGTGACATGGCTCAAAATCGGTCACAATGGTGTAGGTGTATACACCCTGTCTTCCCTTAAACCGTGAGATTTAAATTGCTTCATATCTTTCTTTCTTCTTGTACTATATCCTTATATGCAATCTATCTTTTATATATTACCACCATTAAATTAACTACTAGCTAGTAACGTACATGGTTAAAATGTCAAGGATTAAAACCCCTACTGTAGTGAACAGAACACTAGTTGGGGACAATCGAATGTATTTAAGCAAAGATTACAGACTATCTCAGTAAATTCTGTTTACCAAAGAATGAACAGTCAATTTGCAAATTAACAATCAATTGTTTCAATCTTCACTGTTTCTTCAATAATTCCATTGTTCATGCATTTTCCAAACGATTGCGCTTCATTTCAGTTCTTTCCTCATCGGTCTTCTGCCAAAATACATTCTATGTCTGACCCACACCATATACTACTTATATGGATATAAGTAGATCACACCACACTCGTCCCCCCTTTAAAGCATTCGTTCATGCGGTGGTTCTGCTCGCCGTGCCACTATCTTCTTCCACTGCAGTCTGTGCCAAACTCTCCGTCAGAATGTCGAGTCTGCGGCGCGCTGAACTCCATAGCTCCGTCGACCTGCCGGGGCACCAACATCCGCATCCACCCGGCACCTGGGACGTTCAACACCCGTACTCCACCGGCCTAATGAGCCATCTACATCCGATGTCCGCCCAGCAGCCGCACGTCCCACTGCTCCTCTCCGTCGACAGCATCCGCTACAGCCAACGCCGCCCCGCCAGAACACTCCACTCGACGCCACCTCTCCTCACCAGACTGCCTCAACTAGCACCCCTACTCCAGACCCGCAGCGGCGTCCGCAGAACAGCACCCTTCCTCCTCCTGGTTGGCAGCGACACCAAATGTAATGAACAGAACACTAATTGGGGACAATCGAATGTATTTAAGCAAAGATTACAGACTATCTCAGTAAATTCTGTTTACCAAAGAATGAACAGTCAATTTGCAAATTAACAATCAATTGTTTCAATCTTCACTGTTTCTTCAATAATTCCATTGTTCATGCATTTTCCAAACGATTGCGCTTCATTTCAGTTCTTTCCTCATCGGTCTTCTGCCAAAATACATTCTATGTCTGACCCACACCATATACTACTTATATGGATATAAGTAGATCACACCACACTACGCTTGTTTACGTGAGCCAGACTCATGACTAGATTTCCAAACGTATTCTCATAATGCATTTAAATGACTTATTCCGTTTCTTGTAAATAGATATGCGGATGTATCATAATCAATTAATAAATTATTTAGTGTTTTGCATACTCATTTTATCCTTCAAATAAAAGATATATGTTACTTTAAACTTTCTTAAATATTCAGTGCAATAGCCTCATTTTTCTGCAGTGTGTTACTGTATTATTTACTGGCTTACTCTTATTAGGTTGATTGGATTTTACAATATGATCCACCTGATGATGCCAAAGAGTATATACATCGAGTTGGTCGTACAGCTCGAGCAGGCAGCACGGGAAATGCTTTACTAGTGTTGAGACCTCATGAATTAGAGTTCCTCTCAATTTTACGAAAAGCTCGCGTTAAGGTTGTGGAGTATGAAATAGCCAATTCAAAGATGGCGGATGTGCAACCTGCTTTGGAGAAGTTGGTCAAAAACAACTATTTCCTCGCTCTTTCCGCTCAGGAAGCCTTCAAAGGTATAGTTCGTGCTTACGCTTCGTCTGGCTTAAGCTGTTTTAATGTAGATGAACTAGACTTGGCCGCAACAGCAAAAACATGTGGACTAACAATTACTCCTAAAGTGGATTTGAATGTAAAATCAAAGAGAACACGAGAAAATCCTGGCCAAAAGCGATATAAACCTTTTGGTGTATCTGATAAAAAAGCCAAGAAAGCTAAAATTTATAAACGAATATCTTAATTATATGTAATTTTTTACGCTCTATGTATATATCACAAACATTTTCTGATATAAATAATATACAACTCAAGTAAATGAAAACAATGAGAAATATATAAATTAAAGTAATAAATATTTTTTCGCTATATACATGGTTTCATAGGTATCCAGAGTATTTTTCATACAGCTGTTCTACTTCTTGCTGTATAGAACCGGTATCTGTGTGTGGTATGGGATATCTATGTTGACCAAATAAACCTCGAGCTTTGTTTAATTTATACAGTGCTGTTTTGTAATCTAAGTAAGACAAAGAACATTTAGCTTGATACAGATACAGTGCAGCGTAGTGGTTTGGGCGCAATTCTTCAGCCTGTTAAATCAAACAAATGAAGTAACTCAATTAAACGAAAGTTGAACGCTAATAAATATTGAACTAAATTCTTTTAATCTGTGCTTACTTTTTCAAATGCCGTCTCGGCTTCCTCAATGGTAGATGTCGGAGGTTTACCAAATAACCTTGATGCAATCTGACGCTCGATCCACGAAATATTATACACCTAGGATTGAAATAAAAAACAGAAGCAGTTAAGAGAATGTATCATTGATACTGTTGGTCGTCCCTGCGCATGTCTAACAAGAGAGTGGATATCCTGCTTATGAAGTGTATTATTTGAGTTTTTTTCAAAGAAAGAATAAGCCTTCTGCATTAATCTATGGTAGTACCGAATTCTAATCTTCTGAATTCCTCATGTCCCTATCCTTTTTCTCTTTCCAAACTTATTTCACTGTATTATACCCCTTCAATAACATTTTCAAACCCTAATCTTTCACATTAATGCTTATACTCTTACTACTTCTACCACTATGGGATTCGAATCGACAACTTCATCTCTGTGCTAATGTGGTATGGCAACTCGAACTGATGTACGTACGTACGAAGTTCTACGTTGTGACTGACTGAATCTATGGTAGTACAGTGGGTTTTTTTAAAGAGCTGTAAAGACACGAAGTATTATTAAAAACTTCTGACGAACGAGAAATCTTATTGCATATGGAGTAGCCAAACGTAAAGGACTAAGAATTTATTATTCGAGATGTAACATACATAGTGTTCAGAAAGGGCGACAGAAGGAAAATATGAAATTTGAGAGGTAAATCGGTTTGTTTGAAATTAATTTCACTGTGTTCGTTGATAAGATATTTGTATCTTCCCTATGGATGATGAGAAAACTGTTTTCAAGTAGCTAAGTTATTACGAGCAATAAAATTTTCTGAATGACAGCAAGTTACATACCTCATAACACCAACGACCTTGTAGATAATAGGATAGGGCATCAGAAGCGTCAAGCTTGATTGCGGTGTCAATTAACTCCTTTAACGAAATATAAAAAAATAGTTTTGAGATATACAATAAAGTGCGGTATTTAAAATTATTAACAAGTGGGTCCAGAAAAGCAAGACTGGACGTGTATGCACACATATCTAATTCAAATTACCTACATGAGGACTTGTACTTCACGTTAGCCGAACTAGTTTAAGATCTATAGCATTTAGTAAAAGGTTAAGGCTATTATGCATGGTGCATACGTTCATTCACGAGGTTAACTTCTTATGCTTGTGAAATTAGGCTTAAGTTGCACAACTCCTCAGCGACTGAGGACTAACGGATTTTCTTTCTTATAACTAACCAATGGAAGTGTGACGATACATCGCATGAAGAATTTCCATAGTGATGCTTATCAATACGTCGAAAATAGAGGCTTTATATATTGCACTTCCTAAAGATGAACCCGATAAAAATATGATATTCTTTGCTTGTGTTAACATGATATTAAAAGACTAATCCTCACATGAAGACACTTGAATCCTTAATATATTTAAGATTTTTAAGGATGAATCTAAAAGAAAACCATAACAGTGGTTGCCTAAGTATAGTACGCAACTATGACAGAACAATGTATACTTTTTACGGAAACATTCGCTAATTACGCATTGGTAATAATCGCTGTCAACAGATACAAACCTAATCGTATAAAAATGAAAAAATCTACATGATTAGTAATTCTCTTAAGTAGCTCACCACTTACAAGTCTACATACTCGGATTTAAGCCACTGTATGGGACCTAGTGGTGCTACTCGGTTGCCAGAAGTGAGGTATGTGGGATCAAGTTTTAAAAATAAGCCCCATGTAATGCGACCCAAGTGCTTGGAACACTAATTCGCTACTGAGGACCTACATATTCACAGTAGCATTCACCAATATTGCTAGAAAATCAGATACAAAAATAAACTGATAAATCATATTTGTCTGTATTTATGCAGAAGTGGCTTAATTTTTTTGTTACTTGTCCACGAAACTATTTATTTGTAATGAACAATATTTGGATTTCTTCCCATATACGATGTCAAATGATGTGAATGGAACTAAATAAAAAAGCAAGCATAGTACATCAAGATAGCTTGCCTTAAATTCATAACCATACTCTATTCTTTGTTGAGCATTGAGGTAAGATGAATAGACACCAACTAAAATAGCTAACCATTTATATATTGGAGCTAGTTTTGTTGGATCGTTATCCAATGGTGGTGGAGGAGCTCTTTGTGCAAGGTTTAACGCTCGACGTGCATATTTTATTCCTGACTCAATAAACTGGCGACGAGTTTGCACTTTATAAGCAATATCATTTAAAGTATGTTGACTGTGTAATGTATCATCCTTTTGTGGCACAGTTTCATCTAAAGGCGCTTCTTCACTGGCTATGTAAGTAGCACGAGCTAAACGCCACAAGAATTCTGGGCAATAGCGATACTATAACAAATATGAAACAGAAAGATTGGAAACAATAGTACAATCGTACATTCACACAAATTATGTCTATAAATTAAGAAAAAAACTTATTACAACTCTGTAACTGCATGAAAGTTCATACATCTGTTACAAAATCGATAGTTTTAATCCTATAAAACGTTATAGATGAAAAACTTGGGCAAAATCACCGAGACTTGTAATTTGTCTGAGTGTTAATATATTAGGCCAGGAAGAATTGCCAAAATGTCTCGAAAATCGGCATTCGTTTGGTGTGAAATGAGTATTAAAATGGAATTACACTCAGTTCCTGTTTGCTACTTAAACTTGTGTTGATTTAATTCAGTTACTTATTGATTTACTCTGAAAAAATACCTTACACTAAATCACAAAACGTCAGAAATACTAATTTCTACTCATTAGGATATCAGGAATATATCGTTACTTTATTATTAACATTCTACGCAGTTCTCAACTTATTTGAAATTTTCAAGTCTTATCTTAGCAATGGTATCTATAATTCAAAATAACAACAATTACAATTGATAGTACTCAATTCTCGTACAATTTACATATGCTATCACATTTCGCTTGTAATATATCCAAATAAAATATAACCCTACAGACTGGATTATTTTTCATTTCTTCAATTATATTTTTTGGTCGAGCTTTATTGACGGGCAAACTCGTTATCAGTTTTTAATCCAGAATTACAGAAAATCACCCAACAAATCTGATTCAAGATCTAACAACCATTATTTTTATATTTTACTTACAGCAAATATCAAAACGTCATATTAGAGGTATTTCTGACACTATTTTCGGTCTCTTATAGAGTACTATTTCTCTCAAAGTTGCAAATACTTTTTATTGAGGAATACAAATCAATTAGAAGTACAACTTTATGGCATCCTACGAACTTTCTTTAACTTCAAATACTACTTTTGAAAAACAATTTCAGTATATTTTACTGTTATCCAACAAATGCAAACACCGACAGAGAAAACCTGCAGCTTAGGTTGATGCATTTTGTGGTGTTACGTTCTCTAAGCCTTGAGGATATAATTTTAGAAACACCGACTTGTATTTCAAGCAGGTGCAGATGATGTCGTCCAGGATGATGACTAAAGCTTTCACATTAGACCACATAGCTCACAGAATGCAACACCACTAAAACTCAGACATTACTTTCTGCTTTGATAGACATATGAACAAAATAATGAATAGAGCATAATTATTACAATAAGTTCCACTGCACATACATATTTTTGGAATATCGATCATAAAAAAACATTATGAGTTCAATTAGCGAACAACTGTAACAATAGAATAAAAATTCGTACCTTTTGCATGTATACTAGACATCTAGCATAAGCTTGTATGCCTGGATTGATATCATTGTCATTAGGATGCATTTGTAAGTCACTTGATGAAGACTCACCTAAAGCATGATCAGCCAGTTTATCTATTTCCTCTAGCACTTCCGCCGGAACTTGGACTGTCGTCGACCAATACAAAGAGTTGTTGCTTAGATGACTACAAACACTTTGAAATGAATTTGCCGACGATAAAACTTCCTCTGGAAATTTACCAGACTGAATAGATGAAAAATTCAAGCTTCCATTGTGAAAAAAAACAGAAGAAAAGTATGGCACAATAATGTAAACGTCAGAGATAGTTTCCATGGATAAATAGCCCGATTCAATTCTGACAAAGAATATTATTTATTTATTTATTTATTTACTTATTTAAACACATATATATTGGTACAAAAGGGCACCAGATACATATGCGCCACACAAAATAATGAAAGTAGGAAGAGAAGGGATGAAAAGATAAGGCGGGCTAAAATGTACAACCAGAAGACTCTTTCAGTTAGGAAAGTTAGAACCATACTTTATGTAGAAAGTATAAGAAGGTTGCAGCAGGATCGCCACTGGCTTCTATTCTGAGCCATATCTGATAACGTCTCTAGCCACTGTGTTGTACCATCTCTCGCACCCCAACCAGGGAGTCGTGAAGGACCAACGGAAGCTAGCCCTTTGCAGCTCTCCTTCATGCCACGACACCATGTCATACACTGACCTCCTCTCCGCTTTTTCCAACCAGTCCCAGCATCGGCAAATAATGCACGACGTGGAAGTCTCTGGGACGACATTCGTAAAACATGTCCAAGCCACCGAAGTCGGTGTTTCAAGATGGTGACACCAATTGAATTATCGTCTCTGTGCCCGAACACACGATGCCGAACCTCTGCATTACTAACATGGTGTTGCCACTGGATGTCAGCAATCCTTCGGAGACAACGATGATCGAACACAGAGAGACGTCTAACATCCTCAACTCGGAGAGGCCAGGTTTCACAAGCATAGAGCAAAACTGCTCTCACCGACGCGTTGTAGATCCGACCTTTTACAGCCAGACTAATATCACGAAGGCGCCAAAGATGGCCCAGATTGGCATAAGCCGCTCTGGCTTTCATTATACGTGCATCAATCTCATCACTCACGCCACCACCAGCACTTATATAGCTACCTAGATACACGAACTTCTCAACTACTTCGATCTCCTCACCATCCAGGGTGAGTACAGGATGAGGATCCTGCCAGTCTTGTAGGAGTACTTTGCACTTGGAGGGTGCAAAGCACATGCCGTACCTGCGGACACTGATTGCCAACTGATTAAGTGCTGATTGCATGCCTTGGGCATTATCGCACAGTAAGACAATATCATCAGCATACTCAAGGTCGAGAAGTCGTTCTCCAGGCAACATATCCACACCGCCATTACTTACATCCGTCAGAGCTGTTTCCAGGATGTCGTCGATGGCAAAGTTGAAGAGGAATGGTGAGATCGGGCAACCCTGTCTAACCCCACTGCTCGAATGGAACAAGGGAGAAAGGTGGTTGTATGCCCTCACTCTGCCTGAGGTGTTCGTGTACAGGGCCTTTAAGATGTTAATGAACTTCTCAGGCACACCCTTCTTCAATAGACAATTCCAGAGAACAGTCCTGTCCAACGAATCGAAGGCAGCCTTGATATCAAGAAACACTACGATTGTTGGCCTGCGATAAGTATGATGGTGTTCTAACATTTGGCGGAGGGTGAAGATGTGATCAATGCATCCTCGACCAGAACGAAAACCAGCCTGCTCCTCGCGAGTCAATCGTTCTCGGGTTTTAAACAACCTACGAAGAATGATAGAAGCCAATAGTTTGGACGCAATCGAAAGTAGACTTATCCCCCGATAGTTATTGCAGGAACAACGCGAACCCTTTTTAAAGATAGGGACGACTATTGACTCATTCCAAGATGTTGGAACACTTTCTTGCTCCCAAACCTTTCCAAACAACGCAGTCAGTTCCTTAGCCAGAAAGTCACCACCATCTTTAAAAAGAGCCGGAGGTAAGTCATCTGGGCCAGGTGATTTGTAACGTTTCAAGAGTTGGAGTTCCTTGAGGACTTCCGCCTCGTTTGGTGGATCAGTCGTCACCGGCCATGGGGGGCAGGACAAGCTGGTTGATGTTGCCGGAGCAGCAGGCCAGTTGAACTGCCCTTCGAAGAATTCCGCCCATTGTCCAAGACGTCGACAGATGTTAGTGATTGGCATCCCATCATCCTCGTAGATTGTTTCACTCACACCAGACTTCTTGCTGCCAGTGGCTCGGATGAGTTGGAAGAGCTTCCGGCAGTTACCAGATGCAGCTGCTGCTTCCATCTCATTAGCACGCTCCGACCACCAGGATTCCCGGTCCTTACGCAAGCTTTGCCCGATTTCATTACGTAACAGCCTTCGTTTGTGGTCAAACTCACGGTCACCCGGAGTAGACCGACGGGCTTCCATCAATTGTAAGGAGCCAGAAGAAACCCAGTGCTTGTAAGCGGGACGTTTCGCGAAGCCGCAAGCGGCTTTACTCGCCATTTTCATGGCGTCGTGAAGATGCAACCAATGCTCATCTATACTTTTCGGTGGGGTGTTAGCTAGCCTAGAGGCTAGCTCCGCACGGTACATACTTGCAACAGAAGTTGCAGCCAGTTTACTAACATCTATCCGTTGGTGGTGGTCAATCCTTCGGCCACTGAAAAGTAAGGTGAGATTGGCGCAGACCAGGGCATGATCAGACTCCAGATAGGTACTCCAAAATGAGCGGCAGTCTTGTACACAACCACGCCAGCGGTAGCTCATCGCGATGTGATCAATCTGAGTCCAGGCTTGAGATGCAGAGGGAGGACGCCAGGTGGCACACCGGCGATGACTGTGCCGGAAGTTAGTTCTGGCCAGAAACAGGTTGTGGTCTGTGCACAGTTGCAGCAAACGGTCCCCGTTATCTGTCCTGCGACCAACAAGTCCCCATCGGCCACCTATACGACTCTCTTCTGTGCCTAGACGCCCGACCTGTTCATTCAAGTCTCCGGCTAGTACTACAATATCTGTCGAACGCGCTTTCTGGAGAACTGTTAACTGGTGGTAAAACTCATCCTTGATTGCATCCGGGCTGCAATCTGTCGGGACATAGGCGGAGATGACGAAAAGACACCGTTTCTCACGCCGGTTTCTTCTCACTTTGATGGAACTTTCTAATCTAACAGCACATAACCGACTGTTAATGGGGATCCAATCGATTAGTGCTGCCTCAGCCCTAACGCTTAGTGCGACACCAACGCCAGCAAGACCAGACGAAGATGCCACAGGGTCCCCGGATAAGCGCACGTGGAACAAGCTCTTCGAGGCGACAGATGGAGATCGGATTTGTAGTACTTCACTAGAGTCTTGAATACGGGTCTCGGATAGACAACAAACATCAACATTAAGACCTTCCAAAGACATAGCCAGCCCTATCTGTTGTCTGATATGCATTAGTGTGCGAACGTTGAAGGAAGCCAGCTTGAACGGCGTACGTGGTTTCAGAAAGACTGCTTCAGTATTCATTATCGGTGGAAGCATTCACTTTCAACCAGACAGTGACTGGAGATCGTTTAGATAGGACAGATATTCCACCATGGGCGAGCTGCTGCATAAGTTGAAAAGTAAGGTTACAGAAATTGGGGATAAAAGGGATTGAGTTAGCGATATGGTAAATAATAATAATAATAGTAATAATAATAATAATAATAATAAAGGTAATAATAATAATAATGTGAATTGTCTTGCTTATAATATGAGCAGGGATATTATCGTCAATAGAGTTAACCATTTCATTCATTTATGTGAGGGCTGTGATACTGCCCAGGTACCCAGACTGAAGCAGGTGGTTTTCTTAGGAGGCCACACCCGGAGCCTTTGACCTGAATGTCTGATCCACAAGGCAGTGGAGCATCGTGAGGAGATGCAGTCCCATGGTAGCCGTTGACCAATGACAGGTTCGTCCGCCATTCGTTCCATCAGGATACTGGAGCCCATGTGCACCATTGGTTTGGAATCAGGGTTTTCCAACTCCCCTAGGTGGACTCTCCGTGTCCACCAACTCGGTTAAAGCGCCGGACATTCGCTTTTCGTCCTCTCACTTTCGTAAACAACACCCCCGCCACGAGAAGGCAGTGATTAGGACTTCCCTGGCAGAGGCTATATATTCGCTGGCCATGTGAGAGCATTTCGAGAGGGAGAGTAGACTCTCCCCACTCTCGGCCATACCAGGGCATTTGGGGGCGAATATATTATCCTTAGTCCTGCAAACAACATCAAACTTAGTCAAGACCAATTTATTCTGCTCTCCATAAATTTATGCAATTCGTGTTAAAATACTGTTTAAATTAGAACGCGTGGATCGGGTTTATACATGTAATCCGGCAATTTGAAGATTTTACGATAATCTAATTCTTGCAAAAACCATTTCACTGGATTTACAAAACAATGAAAGTCACTATCAAAAGTCACAGCCAGCTGATAATCAAAGAGACCAGAACAACGAATGGACGAATTTAATGCAGTGTTTAGATCTTTTTTATCTAACTGTAGTGATCGAAGTAACTATTTCTTCTTAAATTGTGAAGGATTGTGAAAGTAAGACATGAAGTACTGAGTTTAAATAAGAGGTTTCTTAGAGTATCAAGAGATCCAGACCGACTTCTAGACTTACATGGACGTTTTCTTGATAAATTTGACACTTAGATCTAAAAATAACGCTTAAACAGGAAATACTTTTGATGAAATTAAACCTTAAAATTTTAAAGTACCACTCCATGTTCCAACTATGCCCATCGATATCAAATCAGTGTTTAATTCTAACTGTCGAGACATTCTGTTTTTCATAAATCGAATCTTCTTCAGTACGATGTTGTTTTTCAGATCTGACCGCTATAATTATTTAGTTTAGCAATAACTGAAAAATGAGAGTGACTGCACAAAAAATAATGACAAAGGGTCGAAACCAACTAGAACTTACTCATCACCGATATTTTCTACATCAAAGTAGTTTTCGTAATCATCATCTAGGCCATAGTCATCATCGGCTATAAAAACTGGTGGGACGTCATCCTAAAAGAGTAATGTATGGGTAAGACAAAACTTAGTAAACAAAATATATTTGGAGATGTTTTGACCAATAAAATGACAAAGTTGACACAACAGTTAGAGGTAAAACTTCATCAACTGTTTGGTTGCTTTCGCTGTCAATCTTATGTAACCTTTGTAAGATCGAATAAATAAGTCATGGTCGAGTCATCTCTCCTAAATATGTAGATGAACTTAATTCCACAGAAATCATTCGGTCAGAGAACAGGTGTCGTGATATCCAATCTCCTCCAAATCTAAAGCTTGTTGTCAAGGGGATTTACCTGTTCGGTCTATTCAACCTAGTCTTGGTTAATTCACAACCATATTTATTGCTTAATAGTAATGCTGAACAGCTGAAGTTATGTGTAGGACGTTGTACCATAAGGAGCAATTACAAATTCTACCATGAGATACAAAGATGAAAGCATCTGTTTGGTTTGCTCTAATCGAAGTTGTACGTAATAGTTAGCATCTATAAAATGTATTAAATAACTGAAGGGTAATGAACTAGTTCACACATGTAGAATCAACAGTCCCAATAAAATAACTAAGTAAATTAGTATTTGTTGCAGTCTTTTCGAACTATTGAATCATGCATTAGAAAATACTGATCTCTAAATAGAATTGGTGTGGTGATGACATCATCAAGTCAACAGAGGTAAACCGATTTATTGTTTTATGGAAAATCAAATAGTAGCTTATGGAATATGAAAATCATACATTAAAAACATTATTTGCATATTCTCCTTCAATTGTTCTCTATACACTTCGTTGTCCTTCTGATTGTTATTTCAATAACTTATTGATTTCCTTCCTCTTCTATTGGTAAGCATCCTACTTTCCATTCCTGTCCGCTAAGTATTGCATACCACACAACATTGCGAGACACTGAACATTTCCCAGAAATTTAAATTATGTTAAGGCCATATGAATTACTTACAGTACTGAGATTGGTTTGCTGGTCCAAGTATGAGAAGTTTGGTATATGAGAAATCCCCTCTATCAATTGGTATGGAATGATAACACTAAACTTATTATTGTTTCTACTGATCGTACGGTGATTTTAACTAACATTCTAGTTTAGCGTATCAGTCGCATTTAGAAATTTATGTAACTGAATATTTCAGTACAAACAGAAATATTCATTGTCCCAATTCAGAACAAATAAAGTGGTAACGCAAAATATTAATTAATATAGATCGCTACAGGACCTAAATGTAAACAATGAATAGTTGGTGTTTAAAGCTGACGAAAAAATTGTTCAAAAACATATGAACGAGCTTCTAATGAACATATCATATAGTTTGCTTAAAATCTTTTCACAAATACATTACACTATTTGAGGTTCGAATTGCCGTACTTCAAATATATCCAGATCTCATAACAGTATTATTCTTTCAAAGTATAACTTTATAATGATTCATCTTATTTCCATTTAACTATACGGCGTTTTAAATATCGCGAACTCAAGTAGTGTGAAAGCGAGAAACTTATATTCCAACTCCAAAAATCGATTAAATGTGTAATTGATGTCCAGACAATATGAACTAATACAGTATTATGACTAACTGAACACTCCTGATGGTGAGAGATTTTAACATTGAGTGTATGAGAACTCAATAAAAATAAAAACAACTTAAAAATAAACCGTTGCTGCTACCTTGACGTGGTGGTCGGGCTTGCCTATCGTGATGAACCAATCGAGCTATGCTGGCTGGAACAATCGTTCCTCAAGGTCCTACCATGCCAGACAGGTCGGATGAAGAGCGATGAGACTAAAAGCAGCAATCCCAAGGTCCGAAGGCGAAGTCGTAATGCTGACTGTACAGAGGTGTGAAAGCAGTAAGGTGTTTCCTTCAGACAACCAGCATGACAGTGATGCTGCCTTCCCACAAGGAGGGGTGGGGTTAGAAAAGGTCGACCCTAAAAATGCACACCTCGCCTTATCCCACGGATTTCCGTCTCCGGCGGTAAGGACTTTTGAAGAACGGAGCTAACACGTCAAAAATCCCCCACAAAAAGGCCGTGCGTGACCGGCCTCAAGCAGTTGTCCCTTGGGCACTGCGGTCACGCTCCCAGGTCGTTAAGACCAATACTAATCCAACTTCTTTTTCAGGTACCTCAAGAAATACCCTTCCACGGTGTGGGCAGCCGGGGAGTGATACTAGTCCTCATACCCTTAACTGCACACGAGACCAAGTTGGTCGCTTTCAAAAATAAACCACAAACTTGTTGTGTGTAATATCTAGACACAATACTTTTCTGAACAACAAAAAATCACCATAACTTTTCAGAAACTATCAGAATTTATAGTTAGTCAGTCAGCTACAACGTAGAACCAGGCATATATATGCATCGGTCCAAGTTGCTACACCCCATTAACATAAGATGAACACCCAATTCATAGAAGTAGTTACTTCAATAGTAGTAATATATAAAAGAAAGATTGCATATAAGGATATAATACAGGGAGAAAGAATTAGTTGGCAGAATGGTATACAGTGATTTTAATCTCACAGTTTGAGAGAAGACAAAGAGTGTATGCACCTACACCATTGTGATCGATTTTGAGCCATGTCACACAGTCTCCAACTATTGGTTACCATAGTCACGCGGACCTCAAACAATTAGTCTGCATCAACCTACATGGCTAGGACTAGAAGTTAGTGACTTTAGACACCGATGACAAGTTTTGGTTTGGCTACCCCTAACTCTCTTCCAACCATCACCAATACTAGTCAGCATTGCGCGTCGTGGTAATCGGTGTTCAGGAATACGTAACACGTGGCCCAACCATCTCAGTCGATGAAGATTCATGACCTCACCAACTGATTTACTATCATTCCCTAATATCCTGTATCTAACCTCATTATTACTTACCCGGTGATCCCAGCAGATACGAATAATATTTCTAAGGCATCTGTGGTCAAATACTAGTAACCTACGAGTATCTTCTACTCTTAATGACCATGTTTCACAGCCTTAAAGTAGAACAGAGCGAACTTCTGCGCAGTATACTCGTCCCTTAATTGATAGACGGATATCTCGCCTTCGCCATAGGTGACGTAAGTTGGTAAAAGCCAAACGAGATTTTTGAATACATGTAGAGATTTCGTCAGACACCAACCCATTAGAGCTGGTCAGACTTTCAAGATAAGTGAAGTTGTAGACGTATTCGACTACTTCACTCCCCATCCTTAGTTCAGGTGTTGACACAGGCCAGTCCTGAAGCAACAACTAGCATTTAGAGGGGGAGAAACACATCCCAAACATCCTGGAATTATCGCCTAGTGCTACCAAAAGATTCTGTATTTTGTCAGCGTTTTCACTAGATAGGACTATATAATCTGCGTTTTCATGAAGTATGTTTAGATATTAAACAGAAATCTTCCCGTTTATCAAACGTAGGTCAACCAGTTTGATTATTTTTGCATTAAGATTGCAGAATATAAGCCGTATCGCAAAAAATATTAAATATTAGAAAATATTTTAACCGCTGGCATTAAATTACCACGGCTAAACAGCAACGAGTGAATAAGACCTCCAATAAGGAAATTAATGTTTTAAGTTTAAATGATGCATTTTCTGGGGAAAACAACATCCACTCACCGGTTAAAATAAGAATGAATTAAAGAAATCATTTCGGTCCCCAGTTGATCAATAGTTTAATATGAATACTTATTTCCAACAAAATACTTTCATTGAGACATAAGGCAGTCTTACCAATCGAAACAAGATTAGATAAATTACGAATTTAAAATCCAATATATGGCGATGATGGTTGAATAACCCATATATTAATGACTAACTTACACATAACATTTAATCTTTCAACTGCATCCCTAAATAGAAAGCATTATGTATGCTGCTGGAAAACATGGTCTTCGGACAGTTACTTTCTCGCCAATGAACTAAACAATGTATCAGTCAGTACTCTTATATCTAGTGTCTCCAACTACTAGGTAATCAACTGTTTCTTTAGTTTATTGATTGTATTAAAACACAATTTGACAATTTGAACCTGGAAACGACGTTAGCTACAAACTAAGGACTGTTTAGCTGTAAATATTAACGTGGTATTCAGAAAAGGATTATTTAGATTTCTAATCTAAAGATGCACTATCCAATCAACTTATGTCTGCTGCTTTGATCAACTATAGAATTCGTCAGGTCGATAATAAATTTATATACTTATAGTTAACTCGAAACCTGTCTTCTAGTCCTTAGCTAGCCTTGATATGTATCTTAAGATTTGAAAAAACCTGTGTCACTAATTTATATATCACCGAATACCGCACCTAACAATTAAAAATCTTATCTCGATATAACTATCTTACTGAGACGATACTATGGCGACGAAAACAACGTAAAGAAAATACTTACATTGTCTTTGCTATCCAAACTCTTTATATGAGTATTATATAATTCATTACGCAGTTCCGATAATTCTGCTCTAACGCTAGCTAACTGTTCAGTCATATGACGCAATTGTTCACTCTGTTTATCACGTTTCAAGAATAGTAATAAACCATTCAACAGATGATGTGAAAGGACACCTAGTGCGAATCCTAGTCCAGCACCCAGGAAAGCACTTAAAAACGTACGCTTGTCTATACGTCCACAACTCAATAATCCAGCACCGAAAATAGTCCCAGCAGTTGCAGATTTCGACAATCCGACGTTCTCACTGTTCCCCATGATATCTATAGTTTTGAAATAAAATGAAAAAATTTGCTACATAAAGTTTAACTTTGGAATATTATAAGGAACCTCATGTAATTGAAATCCACAAACGACAGTGAAAACAAGATTCATAGGTAACAGAAAATCCGTGAAATGCAGCCATTTAACACTAACTAAATGCACGTTCAGAAACTAAGCCATGAGCTACACTTTTTCGACAAATAACGATGTTAAGTGGTTTGAAAAACAAAAATATATAGGGGATATTGAAACTTATAAACAGGTATATTAAAAACAAAATACTCAGTAAAAGCGTTAATTAGCAATCGGAAGTTGTGTCACTTTGCTGTCTTTGTTGAAGTAAAATATACATCATGACATTCCATTACTTTGATTCTAACATTTAAATTAATCTTCAACCTACAATAGTAATATTTAAAAAAACTAGGGTGGGCACAATAACTTCCATCCACCTCATATTTATGCATCTTGTCTAAAGCAACGATCTTTATTCCCAGAGCACTACTGCAAGTTGATGACGAAAAGCGAATTCAATTCTCGTGAAGAACATACTAAATTTTGGAACTGAGTTTATCTAACAAAAATGAAGAGTAATATGCACGAGAAATGCAATCAAAATAACTGTACTGAAAAACTAACTTTATCAATCAATAAGAACAGAAACATGTTACTTCGAGCACAAAGGGCTGATGAAGCACAAGTACCAAGGTACCCTTCCTCAAAAAAATGAAATTAGAGAAAAGTAGGAAGGATGTCACTGATAATAATGTCGATATTCAGGAAATCTCGTTACTACGTAATCTCATATATTGAATAGGACTACTTAAAAAAAATATACGCTAATGTATTTACAACAAAGTGCTACAAATGTGCCACAGAATTTTAAATTGATCTTACATAGGGAATGTCTTAAGGACCAACCTAGATACATGCGTTTCTCAACTACTCTGAATCATTCACCGTAGACAGTAAGTAGAAACAGGATTCTAAAAAACTTGAACAGGTACTTAGTATTAGGTTCCAAATGTCAAACGAACAATTGTGGTTGGTAATCATTTATCTTATCGCATATCAAAATAGTAATGCTATCATACAGAATTTCAAAACTAAAAAGAAACTTTCACGTACCTGGTCAGCATCATCGATGAACAAGCATAATCTAAAGCAGATGAGTAGGAAAGGATTGGCAAAGCAAGGACGGTATCCCTACAGCTGAAGGACATATGGAACTCAAAACAACTGTCTGCAAGCCAATATCAAAGTCACAATCCTCAATACGAGCGTCAAAACTGTCCTACCGCACGGAGCTGAAACATCGAGAACTACTACAACCATCATCGGAAAGGTACAAGTATTTATGAACAATTATCTACGTACGATACTGAATGTCCGTTGACCAAATGTCATCAGCAACAGCCTACTGTGAGAGAGAACAAACCACCCTCCAGCTGAAGATGAAATTAGGAAAGAACGCGGGAAGTGGATTGGATACACTGAGGAAATCACCAAACTAATATCATGAGACAAGTGCTTCGGCGGTACATATACTGCCCCCAAATGCCCTGGTACGGCCGAGAGTGGGGAGAGTCTACTCTCCCTCTCGAAATGCTCTCACATGGCCAGCGAATATATAGCCTCTGCCAGGGAAGTCCTACTCACTGCCTTCTCGTGGCGGGGGTGTTATTTACGAAAGTGAGAGGACGAAAAGCGAATGTCCGGCGCTTTAACCGAGTTGGTGGACACGAAGAGTCCACCTAGGGGAGTTGGAAAACCCTGATTCCAAACCAATGGTGCACATGGGCTCCAGTATCCTGATGGAACGAATGGCGGACGAACCTGTCATTGGTCAACGGCTACCATGGGACTGCATCTCCTCACGATGCTCCACTGCCTTGTGGATCAGACATTCAGGTCAAAGGCTCCGGGTGTGGCCTCCTAAGAAAACCACCTGCTTCAGTCTGGGTACCTGGGCAGTATCACAGCCCTCACATAAATCGAATGAGATTTGTGAGGCGCATATTTATCTGGTGCTTCATTGTACCAATATTTATGTGTTTAAATAAATAAATAATAAATAAGGAATCCTGAAGGGAAACGAAAAAGAGGATGGTCAAAGAATACACCGCGTTGAGAATTGGAAGCAAACATCAAAAGGATTAATAACAAATGGAAACAACATGAAAGGATTGCCCAGAATAGAGTTGGATGGGGAATGCTCGTGGGCGGCCTATGCGCCTCTACGAGGGGTAACAGGTGTAAGTAAGGTTAGTAATTATATAGATCATCAATAACAATCATCCTTGTGCACAGGATTAAAAGAATTTCTAATATATGAGTTACGATCCACACGTGCAAAAGTTTAAACTTATAACCCGGACACCCAAACCTTAGTACATGGAGTTTGCTCTGGACTAACAACCCACTAGTTGAATGTTAAGTGCTTAGATCAGAGTTGATAGCCTAATAATAGTTTATCAAATTCATTTGTTGATAAAATTTACTTAGTTTAAAATGTTACATGGCTACGCATAGATAATAAATTTTATTTATCATGTAAATCCAATAATCTCATACATAAGTATTGTTGCAATCTTCGAAATTACACGTAAGATTGCAAACAAAAATGTGCTTTATTTGACAAATGACCTAACAGAATCAAAAATAACTAACTCACTGAAAGACTAATCAATAGCTTTTTTGATCACCAATCATATGAATAAGTGAATGTAAGTATAGTAAAATTGATTCATAATTAATAATGGGTTTACTAAGTAATTATCAAATTAACTCATTCTTTAAACACTTGTGGGTGAGCTAAACTCTAAATGTGAAGGCTAATGATAGTACTCCGTTACCCAAACCGAGGTGAATACGCTTAGTACGGTAGAAAAATAAAATAGCATACAAAGGTGACTTGTTATTAAATAGTAGCTTTCTACAGTTCTGACGACGCATAGAAAAAAGACATCAGTTTAGCCTTTCAGGGTTGACGTTAAGTAAAATCATTGATCGATAAGCTAATGCTAAGGGAGTGAACTAAAGTATTGAAATTGTGAAAGTAAATGAGCGAGGAAATACTTTGATAATAACTTATTACATAGAACGTGTGGTAAGCCAGCTTTTTCTCTGAACATGCATGAAAATTTGTTTCTGTAATTAGGTACATATGGATATGCATACACAATATATTATAATCACTTTTTGAAGTAATAATGTCATTGATAACCATCAGTAGTATATTTTATCCATGCATTGCAATGCACCAAAACCTAACCACACACTATTAATCTCATGTGAAATGATGAACATGTAACCAAAGAAAACTATGTTTCATTTTTATACGAAGTCTCTCAAACACAGAAGTGTCATTAACGTCAGTACGTAAACTCTCAATCTAAAACCATTACCTAACAAATAAAGGCAAACAACAAAAACATAGTTACTCATTAATTCGAAAGGTATCTTCCAAATACAGGATTTTGACATATTAAGCTATCAATTATGAGTATGATATATGGTGTCTAAAAAATTTAGTGTCATGAACCACTAATTTGAAACTGTTGTCAACATGAGTATTATTCTAGCTGTCGACTTACTTTGACGTCAATACAGGTAATATATCATACCTAAGAAGAGAAAGTAAAAGGAATTTGAATGAAGTTCCAAAAAGGTTCAAGTCATAAGACGATATATTTAAAAATAAAATACACCAAACCATTCTAAACGTGTACTAAATTTGCCAGGCTTAAGATCAAAAAATGAGTTACGCCTAAATTACTAGATAATACAACGGATTAGAACATTTCCACTATTACACATGTGTCATTATCGTCTTCACCACAGAGATACTTTTAGCAGAGGTCTTAAGTTTAAGGTAAAGAAATACGTCTGTCCAGCTAATTAGGTGCATTTTATTGAGCAAAAGACTAATAGGGATAGAAATATTTGAGATCACTGACAAAACACCTTTCTAGTCTGATATAGTATAAGCAGCAGGATTATATTTAGCCATATGACGTCCTTTAGTGCAGACCAACTGAGGAGTATATACCAAACTAATATTGCACCATGCGCTAGCTACCTGAAATTGGAGAGAATGGATAATTCAATTACATATGTCATAGAACTGGAAACTAATAGTGATGTAATAAAGTCACGTGTAGTATATAAATGCGATATAACGCCCAGTGAGCTTAGAAGCGAGTGTTCTTATTTAAAAGGTTACGAATAAACTTTACAATGGAGATACAACACCCATAACAAGTAGCATAATATTCAGGCTTACAGCAATGAGATGAGTGATTATTGTTGAACGAAAGAGGAGAAAATGTCAATAAGCTTACATTCACAGAATAATCTTGATAGTATCAAGTATGTTGTTTATAGAATGGACATACACGATGTATCTTAAAGCTCATGCATATGTTAGCTCCAATAGTTAATATATTCACATATAGTCCATAAAGATGGTTTAAGAAGAAAGCGTAATTCGGTAAGGTTAAACGAAAACCTGAAACAGAAAAATTGAGTCAGACTCAGTAAGTGGAGCATCTACTTATATTCGGTTAAACAATGCAGTACAAACGTAGACCTAAGATAATACCTAAATCAAAACCAGATGTACTTCTAAATCATTGACAACGGGATATCCTGTAACTTTAGAAGTCGGGATGCTGATTATTTCTAATAGTACCGCCAAGTAATTCCGCCCCATGCATTCATGGGATTTTGAAATTATTCGGTAGTAAAGGGTTAATGCTTAGCGTAAGTATATAAGGTACGCTTATGTGGAGTGTTGGCACTTTAATGACGAGATTGTATTTTATGAACGAACCAATCAGATCTAGGGCAGCGTACCTTGAATTTAGAAAAGAAATACACTCACTTATCTGTCTAAATAGAATCTATACATCATAGCTGATGTCAATTCATTATGAAAACATTGTATCTAATTCCAGACCGTAACTTTCAATTATAAATCCTAATTCCTCACACTAATTATAACCCTTATTTAACCCTAGTAGATGGGTGGACATTCCCAAAGTCATTTAAGCGTGCCTAGAGGGTCGTCCACACATCATATTCTCACTAAAAAATGTACTACACTGTCTTTTTATAACGGCGACCAGAACTGACAGCTATCCGCCAAATACAAATCCGCTACAGTCCTTGGATTGTAAGCTGCGCCATAGAGTACCTTGACCTCAAAAAGTTCAAATGGTTCATATAGTTGTGGATAAAATAGAAGCCGTGAATCATCGATACCTTAAAATAGATATATTTGATAAGCAAACAGGAAATATTAATAGACTATGTAGTGCTGTTTTCCTCGTTGGGTTAAATTTGCTGTTTTGATAGTAGATTACTCATCAAAACTACTGTTTCTACTTTATTTGAATTGATTTCAGTTGAAGTGACTTCGTACTTCTGTGCATTGACTTTGCTTTTGTGTATTTATTGCATCAAAGTATACTTCATTTATATCGGCGAAGATTTGAAATTTTTTCAAGCCCATTTTTGTGTTACTGTTTTTAGCTGACTTTTAAGATCATCGACCCTGCTCCTAAATGTGGACAGCCATATTGATTATTCCTTGTAGAGGAAGGAATGCTATTTCTTGGTTGTAATAAGTGGTTTCATAAGATGTGTACACGCTTAAATCCTACTGTATATAAATGTGCTCAAAGTCTAACTCCTATGTGAATGCTGCGACTGATGGTGAATGAATGACTCAGAAACATAGAAGAAAAGGAAAGATGGTCGAAAGCAGCGACCCTTTAGTTGCAAATTTCTTGATGGACTAACATTCTGCTTTGCATACTACTCCACCAAACTTCCATCGTAAATGGAAAATTTTGACCTTATCAAACATTAACATGAGTCCTTCGCTGGACGCCCACAACTGCTACAAGTAAAACCAACGGTAAGCTCCCAGCAGTAATTAAGCAGGATCTGACATCACGATTGAAGGCCGTGAACACATCTTTCAAAGAAGTTTAATTCCTCTTTAATTTATTAATTTAGAATCAAGAGGAGTGAATGGTTAATGACCCTGCCTAAAGGCTAGCATACGATCTGGAGTTAGTGGAATCTGCCATTAGAAATGTACTGCTTGAAGACATTTCAGGAGTACAGATTACGAGTGTAATAAAACTCATTAAATGGGTTGGAGGCGAGATTCAACCAAGAAGAAGCTTGAAGTTGGTTATCATAAGTTTGATGAAAGAGACATACCAAACTCGTTATTCAAATATTCGTACCCGACCAGGTTGACGGTTTGAAGTCCAAATCAAGTGAAAGAATGTCCATGAGGGTTTAAAAACTCGAAAGCTGAAAGGTGAAACGAACCTTACGATTAATAGTTATCAGGTGGTGAGTTCTTGGATGGCAATGCTTCCTAGACCTGTAGAGGTAGAACGAATGACTTCCGAAACACCTTCAATGTGTGCTACAAAAAAGCCTTTAGTCTTCGAAATAGAACGTCCAAGCTAAGTTTGATGGTGATCGTATCTATTTCCGATATAAATGTTGTCACAGAAACTGGGCTCACCGTAGATACGGACTGTCCTCCCACCATTGCTCGCTACATTTGTAGTAGAAGTGATAGTTTTGAGTCGCAAGGGAGAAGGCATAATGCAAGGGGTTAGGGACCACTTTCGTGTACAATCGATCATATCGGGGGCGCATGTTAGTGGTACATGTGAGGTAACATGTTGTACAGTTAAGTCTAGACATGGGTTCGTGACCATAGGAAAAATAGACCGTAGCCCATGTTGTCTTGCTGACGGCTTTATCTTAAGACACACCTATTCCTGGAGAAAGGCCGAATGTTGTCTCATCATTGGAGATTTCAACGCACTACATATCAACTGCATGAAGTTTACAACTTCAGATGGATGTACGATAGCGATCTTCCATCAAACATTATCCAGCGTACACATGTACAATGTACCGCAAAGCCGACACATATTGACTTCGAACATGGTTTGTCATTGCAGAACCTTGTCCATATATCACTGTAATGATGTTATCGACATTCAACACCTTCCTCACTGGCGAATAGTGGTTACGTTGTATTTTAATTTAAACTTCGGATATATGGTATACAATACGTAACTGTTTGACCTCGTCCCAATATCCGGCGAGCTAATATCCTGACAATCAGAGACTGTACCATCTCGATAGACCAGTCAGTCGGTGCGTATGAATCGATCGAATATGAATGGGATAAGTTTAAGGCTACATTCGAGTCTATAACGTCAACGATTATCTCATGATCAACACACAAGCTATAACGTTTCCCTCCATGGGTTATGTAGGAGACCAGTAAGCTTTTGAAGCGTAGGAAACACTTCTGGGTAATATTCTTGTCAATGGGACGCAAATCATTCAATTATGAATACCGAAAAATACGAAATACATGAAGAAAGACCATAGCTAAATGACGTACTATTTACGAAAGAAGATTGGCATTTGATAGCATTACTTGACCGAAACGTTTGTTCTGGCACGTCGAACGAGGAACAGAACTTAGTGATGGTGTTCCCCCACTACTGTTACACGAAAATTAAGGTTAACTATGTGATCTTGCAAAAGCTGAGACTTTGTGAAACTATTTCAGCGATGTCGACTCTATGTGTATCGTTAAAAATATTTGTCCTAATAACACCAAGATACCAGCCATAGGACCTATACATGTGGCTGAGGAAACTGTTCTTCTATTGATCACTAACCTCAAACCTTATAAGATACAGGACCCTGATAAGTTACATCCGTAACTGTTATCATCTCTTGCGGACAGTATTTCAAGACCAACATGTCCTTCTTCCACACGCACCTCCCCAGGGATTGGAAAAATACTATAGTCAGTCCTATATTTATAGATAGTCAGAGATAGATCGTATCAAACTGCCGACCTGTCAGCCTTTCCAGCATTGTCGCTAAGTTACTTGAAAAGATCATTCGGGTTAAGTTATCAAGTCACATAAATTCGTACAATCTGTAAACTTCCGAGCAACATGGGTTTCGTCACAAGCGTTCATGCATGACTAGCTTACTTATTGCGATAGGGAATTGGATAGCAGCCCTAGATAACGGTCTATCTGTCGATGCGATATTCAGAGGCTTTAGCAAAGCGTTTGACAAAGTTTCACACTTACGTTTTATATAGAGGCTCTCGTGCTTCGGAATAACAGGTGCTGCACAGGAATGGATAGGGATTTTCTTATATGACCACAGACAAAGAGTGAGGGTTAACGAGACGCTTTTTACATGGAAGCCTGTCAGAAGTGGTGTACCCTAAGGCACCATCAAAGATCCCCTACTTTTCCTTCTGTATATCAATGAATTACCACTATTGCTTAGGTCGTGGACACCAATGCTTGCAGATGATGTCAAAATCTGGAGAATAATAAGAAGTGAGGCTGGCCATTTTGGTCTCCAAGCTAACGTAGACTAATTGATTGGATAAGCTCGATGTTGAGACTTCGAAATTAATCCCAGAAAGAGCGTTCTCATTCATATCGTGCACAGCAACAGTTTCCAGTATATTATTGGCGGTACATCCCTTCAATGTGAAGAGTGATATTAATTCACGACACGAAAACAACTGCGTATGGTGACGTAGCAGCTGCCAAAAGTTTCGTGCTTTGTGTTTACTTCGCCGAACATCCAAACGCTTTGACGAGATGTTTCGAGTTTTTTATCCTACTTATGTGAGACCACTTTTTAGAGTAATGCATACATGCAGCTGGTCTATATCTTGTTAAAGATAATAAATCACTTGAGTGTGTTCAGTATGTGGAAACAAAATTAGTGGAGGGTCTTTCCAAACTCCCATACAACGAGCTCTAGAAACGCCTAAGTCTTCCTTCCTTGTCTTATCGTAGAGAGCGAGGCGACCTTATATTCGACATTCCGTATCTTTAATTACGACTTGATTGTTAATGTCTTATATTTTTGCTCCTTCCAGCATTAATAATCTCCGAGATCATAGCAAGAAGGTTCACAAACCACGATTTAGTAAAATTAAAGTACGGTTCCATTTTCCTCATAGGGTTGTCAATGACTGAAACGCCTAACCAGAATATCTATATAGAATATATATAGATTTTTCTAATCATATATATATACATATATAGTACTAAGAAATTGATGTTATTTTAACAATCTACTTGAAAATACATTAGGTAACACAATGCAGAAAAATTTATGAAAAAAGTCAAACTGTTTGAATAATGTGTCCAGGTTGACTATTAAAATGTACATATCTCACTAATAATGATAATAATACTTAAGTAAAGATATGAAGAAATACGTGTACACAACTATGAGAACGTTGATTACTACATTGTAAACTGGTAACAGTTTATAAAAATATGAAAGTTAATACTCAGTGAAGTAATTGAAAATGTGTTTGAAGAAGACTGTTAGATAAACCGTGGTCAACAAGACAAAAATTTAAATAATATAGCATTCACGAATGTAAATATATTCTAAACGATGCTTATTTTTATCAGAAGGGGTTTTGTGGAGATTGCAGTATTTTTATATAGTTGAGATCATGAGTCAATTGAAGCTAGACTACCATGGAAAACCTGGAAGCACTGGACGGCCGTTTCGTCCTATTATGGGACTCCTCAGCAGGAAATAACTCAAGGAAATACCTCAACTCTATAACTTACTAAAATCTCCACAAAACCCCTTCTGACAATGATCATGTGCTCACTAGTGACTGACTCCTTGAGGTATTTCCTGGAGTTCTAGTGAGAAGCAGTAACCGGTGGAGTTCAACCAGGTCTGTTGTGAGATAGGAACTCACTGATGACATTGGTGAATGGTTGCTCAATTTCGTGAATCAGTTGAAGTTAGACATTAACACCGTTGGATGCCAGCTCAGTGGTCTATCGGTTAAGGGCTTCGGCTCGAAACTGGTAGGTCCTGGGTTCGAATCCCGCGAGAGTGGGTTCGTGGACGCGCACTGCTGAGGAGTCCCATAATAGGACGAAACGGCCGTCCAGTGCTTCCAGGTTTTCCATGGTAGTCTAGCTTCAATTGACTCATGATCTCAACTCTATAAAGATACTTATTTTTGTTTAATGTATATTTTATAAAAAATATTCACTTCAGAAAAGAAATTAACATGTTAAGAAATAAATTCTGTAATTTCATAGACCATTCACCATATCGGTTACAGCTTGATTACATTTTGTTATGACTACAATTCTCATTATTCTGGTCACATTTTCTTACCTATTCAATCATAATATTTTGATCATTAATAATAAAAAAATGTTTTTTTTTCAGAAGTTGACCTAGACAAATTATTATTATTATGTTTCGTTTTGTTTAACAATTTTCATTCTGTAGATTACCTAACATATTTTCATGTGAATAGTCAACCAAATATCCTCACCGTGAAAACGTGACGAATCCACAAGTGAATTACGAGCTCTGAAAACTGTTGATGATTTGTAGTGAACAGAGTGTGGTTTTATCAAATTCCTATGCATTTATTTCTGAGAACACTGACGGAGCACATTTCGGTGATGGAGAATGTTTGTTTACCAACATCAAGTTACCTAGTAGTTCAATTTATCAAACTGGTAACCACGTGATCTGAGTCATTACATTCACTATTCTTATGTAGAGCAATATTTGGAACCAAGTATTTCATTTCCAACCTCATGGACTCTCAGACTATTGTTAATTGAATGGAAGTAATTCACTGCTGTCTTCATAAACATACATTAAAAGTTTCTATGACCTCTATTTATTGACCTAATTATCAACAAATAAATACTCATCAATTCTAACTGCGATGTCAAATACCTTGTATATTCTTCTTGCTTCCTATGTTTTCCTGTAGTTTTTCCAATGTCAACCTGTGAAGCAGAATATGTTAAACCTTCTGTTTGCCAAATACCACATCTGATTATGGTGTTAGACAGTTTATAGGTGATATGAAACGATGATGTAGAATGAATTCAATTTGTTTCACTAATCATTTTATTCTTACATTTCTGAAACCTATTAATTCACCATGTTGGATTAAACAAATCAGTGTTCAAACAGGTGATTGTGAACTGTCAAAATTCACTTAAGCAGACATCTGGTATATTTAGTGACTACGTAATTGAGTCATTTTAAAAGACTTATCTACGAACTGACAATTTATGCATGAGTTTTGAAAACTGTTATTCATTCGTAAGGAACAGCGTGTAGTTTTAATAAGACCCAACGTATATATTTTCGAAAATACGGAACAATACATATTAGTTGATAGGTTTTTATATGATCATTTATTCTCTCGTTCATGTGCTACAAGTTGTCCGAAATGTTTTTTTGGATTGAAAATCGCATTATATATAATGAGAATACGTGCCTTAACTTCTATTACAAGTTATTCTATTTCAACTTTTTTTATATCGCTTACTTGTATTACACTCAGTTCTCCTCAAATTGCGTTATCGTTATGGTTGGTTCCTTGAGAAGGCTGACGTGACAGTTTTCATGAAATAAATCTCGCTCAACTGTGGATGTAAGCTAAGGGAATGAAAGTATTGTTCTGTAGACGATCTTGTTCTCCACTGCACTTTGCTTACATCTGGAGAATCCTAGATTTCTGAAAGTTATTTTCAACACAGCAAAACTCTTTGTCTTATTCACCATGGTTCAAATGTTTTATGAGATCTATAGATATTTTCAACGCATTCTTCTTTTCATTGAAAAGTTTGTTGTTTTGATCAATTTGTTTGTGACTTTCTTCTAATCTTTGCATAATGTGATGCATGCCATAAAGTATTACTAGCATTAAAAGTAGTTGGACCGTTGCAGTAATGTTGGACTTCTGATTTTCATGATTTTTCATGTGAATTTTTTTAAAACATACTGGTGGAATTGTTTTTCCATTTCTATTCCTAATATGCACATAGATTGTCGCTGAGACTACTGTGATCATTCGCTCTTACTAAAAAAGGGCTTTACTTCGTTTTCTCAACCATGACTTTGGAATATAATTCTTTCAAAAATTAAAAAATCACAGAAATTGTGAAAGAAAACAAACACGTATGAAGTTAAGTGAATATACTTCATTAGATTACAGACTAAAATTTGTTCAACAATTTAATTTTGTCAGTATAGGCTTAAAATCAGTTTATCATGGAGTGGTACAAATAAAGAAATTTTAATATTTAGAGTGATTCGAAACACAAGTTAAATATGGTTGGAAGGTTGCAGAACAGTAGACAATATTACTTTTTATTATCCAATGCATATAAACACTGGTCATTTGCTTCAGTCGATGGCAATCCAAGCTTTCTCCAGTCACACAAACCAATTTGATCATTGTTATTCCCACACGCTAATAATCGGTAATTTAATGACTTGAGAAATTTATCCTGTTAAAAGAAATTAAATAAAGTAACTTTAATGATGCATCTATGTATCAAGCGAAAAATTCTCATATAATCTGAATAGTAAGTAAAAACACAAGTTTATAATTTCAATCATGTTATGAGAAACTCCTCTATCAAATCTTATACTAACCAATGTATGAATTGGTTGGGAACAAACAGTCAAAAAAGTAAACAGCATTTACTTTGGTATCAGAGAGGAGGCTTCATTTCTTCAATGTTTATGTAATCAATGAAAATCTTATTTTCATCCCCATCAATCAAAAACGCAAGCCAATTTCCCTACAGACAAATAAGATCTGTTTCATAGTTTCTATATTCTTGAAAAGCATTTTGTTGTGTCATCAATTACTTTATCTAGTAGAATTTTAGCAAATGAAAATACTTTGCCCGAAAAAACTAGCAAGATTGTTACAAATAATGATTATATCCGAACCCACAACAGAATATTACCTGGTTACAATCAGTTTATCACAAATTGCTCCTAGATTGTCTGTCAACCACTGGGCTAGCTTTAAAAACAATGAGTAATTATGATTGTTATCAGTTCTTTTGTTTAAAATTTTCATCCTCAAGAATTTGTCTCAAACTATAATTACAATTAACTATAAACTAACATATTTGAACGAACATACTAATGGTAAACTAATACTTTATTCAGCCGTTTTTCATTGTATTTTCTTCAGACTTTTGATAAGGCTCATAAGTAATCATATGGGAATCTAACTTGTTGATTAAAATCGATTTTATTTGTATACATGTTACCATCTAGCATAAGATGAAAGTGTACTTACATATAACCATATATTTTCAATGTTTTATTTACTAAAAGCTTATGTCAAAATATCAAGTTTAAATAAAATTTCTTCATTATCTAAAATGAAAAATTAATTTGGCAAAACGCATCTCGGAACACTAACCGGCTTGGCTCCTAAAAGGAGAATATAAAAAGATAACTAGTTCGATACAAGAGCATTTAATTAACTGTGGACACACCGCTCCAAAAGACTCCTCTTTTAAAGGTGATCTATAAAGTCAAAGGAACCGGATCGGAGGGGGGTCGAATCAATATTTTATGCACTGCTGAGACATTGGCAATCCATGAACTCAAGCCTAAACTTTACGTGTAGAAACAATTTGTCCAACCTCTCACCCTTCCTTGGCCCTAATTCCCTCAATGGGTATGTTTTTGGTTGTCGTTTTTTCCTCTTTTCTTCATTTTTATTTGATTATTATCGGGTTGTTTGTTTTTAATTACTGTTTTGCATTTTAAACTCTTAGTAGTTATTATTATTACCTTATACAAGTTTTCTTGATTATGATACAGTCTATTCAGAAGGGGTTTTGTGGAGATTGCAGTATTTTTTTCAAAGTTGAAATCATGAGTCAATTGAAGCTAGACGAACATGGAAAACCTGGAAGCACTGGACGGTCGTTTTGTCTCATTGTGGGACTCCTCAGCAGTGCGCATCCACAATCCCGCACTCGTGAGATTCGAACCCAGAACCTTACAGTCTCGAGTCAGAGCTCTTAACCGATAGACCACTGAGTGTAGCTTCAATTGAAACATGATTTCAACTTTGAAAACCCCCTTCTGATTGTAATCACATGCTCACTAGTGACTGACTTCATGATACACGTCCTAGGGTTCTAGTGGGAAGCAGTAACCAGTGGAGTTCAACCACGTCTGTTGTGAGATAACAACTCACTGAAGACAATTGGTGAACGGTTGCTCAACTTCGTGAATCGGTTGAAGTTAGACATTAACACCGTTGGATGCCGGCTCAGTGGTCTATCGGTTAAGGAGTCCCATAATTCAGTCTATCACTATGAACTCTGTGTTTGTCGCTTTTCTTCATATCTGTCGATTGGACTATCTGACCCATAAATTATTCTTATCCTTACGACTCGATTAGTTCTTAACCTCATTTATTATTTATTGTCGAATCAATTTATCAATTTCCTAGCCTCATGTAGACGTATATTTTCCATTATCACTATATATACGAATGCACAGGTTAAGTAAATGATGTCGTCGGAAAGACAATTTTCTTCCCTGAATTCTTTTTTTCACATTAAAAATGTATTTTAACTGAAGCAATCAAATACTTAATAACGTACTTTCTATGTCACGTAATGCTAACACATTTTAGACATTTATTGTATAAGGTTACCATTGAGCAACAACTGTGAACAAAATTATTTCCCACTGGTATGTTTTGAATTGACTATAACTATATGTAGTTAATAAAATAACTTCAACAAATAATGCACATCATAGAGTTTAAAGCACCACTTCAAAAGAGTTTGCATTCAATATTTGGTAACGTTTAAACTTACTGAATTTGATTTCATCTCCCAAAGTAGATAAAGAGATCCAGATGGCGTATGACGTTTAAAGTGTTCACTAGAAGATTTAATAATATCACGACCAAGTTTCACACTATCTGCATGTCTCATAATGGATATGTAAGTGGTATTCACCATATTTTTGGCATGTTTTTGATAACATTTACGCACAAAATTAAGTACATTAGAAATAAAATAGGGTGCATACATATCATCTAATTTTTTCATGGGAAGAACTAAATTTACACCGCTGATATTACTTTCAACAGTTTTGCCAATCAGACTAACCTAAAGGAATTTTAAAAAAGTTATTAAATTCATAGAATTTATAACCCCTGTTTCTTGTTAGTTAAAAGTTTCAATAAAGTGACATATTTCAATCTGTACTGCATACAATAAAATACAAAACTATTAACATAATAACTTACAGTAGAAATATTTTCATCGGCATCTTTAAACGCCATATACATATGTGTATAATACGATTCATATGATAACGGTAAAAGTTTAACTTTCACTTCATTTGTATAGGTTTTATTTGTTAAAAATTCAACAGCTTTGTAGTAAATAACCGAGCATAATGGTAGAATAAGTATTTTACTTTCTTGACTGCAAGTGATAAACATAACATTCTGTAAACAGCTGAATAAAATAAATAAGTATAAGGTTTTCATTTTTCGCTAAGAATAGTTTACAAACACAGTAAGATTCTATGTATACTTTCTGTTCTTAATTAAACAAAATAAATAAAAACTATAAAGACTGAGAATGAAATGCAGCTTTTTATAGTCAGATGAAGTCTTAAGTTTAGACAAAAAAGTACAACCTAGTAAATAGGTTAACCAATGCTAATCTCTGACATATTCATATTCCTCAAAAATTACTGTTGTGATTTTTCTCACCACCAACATTCATCAAATGACCTCATTTGTTTATCTATTAGTTTGTGTCAAAAGTTTACTTTCGATGAATAGATTACATTAGAATGAGGAAGGCAATGACCTAATGAAATTGTATATTTGAAAAAAACATTTTGGTTATGTTGTTTTTAATCCAGAATTTAGTTTAGTAGTGCTATCATCAACATAATGGACAATAATAATAATAATAATAATAAAAACAACGACAACTCACTGATTATTTGTGTTTAAATCTTTAAGCAGAATCTATGATTCCAAATGATGTCAAATAAATCGTATTAGTTGAATTTGTTTATTTCTATCATTTGTACTATTAACAAATGACCTCAACTGTTAGACTAAGTGAATTGAAATAAAAGTATATTATTCATTTCAACAATAACAATCCATCAAAGACAGATATAATTAGAGTAACCAAATGTTTTACTTCATCATTAAAAGCTCGGATTATCAAGCATTTATATAAACATTCCATCAAATAGTTTCCCAAAAATATTTAGAATAGTTTATTTTTCGAAAAACACTATAGTATAGCAAGCTCTAGATTATAGTCTTCCTTATTGTGTACTATTTGATACTAACTACATTGTGATATAATCAATCACTACACTAATAAACTGTGACCTCAGTACGACGTTGTGAACTCCTCAGAAATATACACAATTTTTGAATATGCTTTATTTATTCATTAGGTAAATAATAGAATTCTGAGAAATGGTCCAAAATACATGACAAGAAAGATGTCAATGAAAATCTCGTAATGCATTTGTGAATTCATAATGTTTTCACAGTGAGGATACTTGGTTAACTAATCACATGAAAATATGTTAGGTAATCTACAGAATGAAAATTGTTAAACAAAACGAAACATAATAATAATAATTTGTCTAGGTCAACTTCTGAAAAAAAAACATTTTTTTATTATTAATGATCAAAATATTATGATTGAATAGGTAAGAAAATGTGACCAGAATAATGAGAATTGTAGTCATAACAAAATGTAATCAAGCTAGGGTGAACGGTGTACGAAATTATGGAATTTATTTCTTAAAATGGTAATTTCTCTTCGAAAACAATAGTGTTTTTCGAAAAATAAACTATTCTAAATATTTTTGGGAAACTATTTGATGGAATGTTTATATAAATGCTTGATAATCCGAGCTTTTAATGATGAAGTAAAACATTTGGTTACTCTAATTATATCTGTCTTTGATGGATTGTTATTGTTGAAATGAATAATATACTTTTATTTCAATTCACTTAGTCTAACAGTTGAGGTCATTTGTTAATAGTACAAATGATAGAAATAAACAAATTCAACTAATACGATTTATTTGACATCATTTGGAATCATAGATTCTGCTTAAAGATTTAAACACAAATAATCAGTGAGTTGTCGTTGTTTTTATTATTATTATTATTATTATTGTCCATTATGTTGATGATAGCACTACTAAACTAAATTCTGGATTAAAAACAACATAACCAAAATGTTTTTTTCAAATATACAATTTCATTAGGTCATTGCCTTCCTCATTCTAATGTAATCTATTCATCGAAAGTAAACTTTTGACACAAACTAATAGATAAACAAATGAGGTCATTTGATGAATGTTGGTGGTGAGAAAAATCACAACAGTAATTTTTGAGGAATATGAATATAGATCAGAGGGGGTTTTGTGGAGAATTTAGTATTTTCACAGTTGAAATCATGAGTCAATTGAAGCTAGACCACCATCGAAAACCTGGAAGTACTGGACGGCCGTTTCGTCCTATTATGGGACTCCTCAGCAGTGCGCATTCACGAACCATATATCAGAGATTAGCATTGGTTAACCTATTTACTAGGTTGTACTTTTTTGTCTAAACTTAAGATTATATCTGAATAATATGTGATCTCTACTCGTTGTTCATACTTTCAGCAATCGTTCTGGAATTCAATCAGGTGTATCGTCGAATAGGTGGTTGTTTGCGATTTCAGTCATATTTGCGAATAATGCTGGTTGTTATTTTTGGCCTGTGTTCTCCCACCTGAACCGAATAAGTTCGCATCTGATTTAGTTGTTTACCCATATCACTTTGTTTATCTATTTGTTTGCACAAAAAATTCAGGGACACCAAAATATGAATGTGACATGAAAATTGTGATTGTATAGTTTGGCATGGTCGAAAAGTCATGCCACTGGTTCTCGCTCACATGTAACATGTTGTTGAGGATTTTAGATGTCGTTCTTTAGAATCTATTAATAGCATTTTTCACGTCACACTTTGATTTTCGCAATCGTTGTGCTTATTACATAGCTTTTATTCCAGTCTAATAGCAGCTTGAGGTATTTGTTTCTCACAACCTGGATGAATGTCTGGCAATCCTAATTTGGTTATTTGTAACACTGCAAACTCAGGCAAGTGAAATTTACCATTTATCAATTCGAAAATAGACCTAAATCCGAGTTTCAAGCAAAAATGATCTCTAAAGTCATTTACATATTACTCACCTCCCCAGTTATGATAGTGATGAACATGGGTGTTGGTAGTTGTTAATAAAATGTACGTTGAAGTAATTGAGCGTTAAACTGTTTAAGATTACTATATAACTTGCGAATATACTGTTTTAATCATTATAACTACCGTTTCCGACTGAACTGATATATTATTACGTAAGGTATCTAAGAAATAAAAATTATGAGTAACAATTGACGTTGATAGATTTTTCTACTCGCTTTCTGAATTTATACAGGAATTATGTAGAACATTACTGTGAGTGCCACATAAGTTAGCCAAATACTCTTCTTAAGTAAAGCGATGCGTGTTTGTTATGAGCATGGTAACTAAAACATGTCGTAGATAATACTAGTTTATGATCTCTCGTATAGGGTTAAAAAATAAATTTATGTTAACAGAATCCGAAATCACTGACCAAATCATAAACAAAGTTTTAATGCATATTGACGAGTAATCTCTAAATAGTGCTTACCAGTTATTCCATTATTGTATGTAAACAGTGAACTGCTAACAGAATTATGAACATTGTAATTGGATTTTTTTCAGGTTTCATATCCGTTCATTTGGTGACTGAAGTTTGTTTGCTAATACCAAATGACTAGATGAAATTCTGGGAAGGTTAGTAAATGAAGAGCACTGTTTACAGCAAGTAAGACACATACAGGTACATCATATCAGTTGCTATTTCATTTACTTATTGAATTTGAAACCGATAACGAGGTTTAATTGTTTGTTTCACGATTGATTTTTTTTCAGAATTGCATAACGTAAGCTTGGAAGCTATCCATACGTTTTCTGTTATACAACTTATGACTTCTGTCAACTACTTAAAAGGCTCAAACCTTTCTAATAATCAAGTCTATGCAGGTGAACAACTTGGAAAATTTCTGAATATGGAAGATTATGTGAAGAAACAATTTACAAATTGACGATAACTGTTTTTTCAGACTGACTAATGCCATGTTTATTAATCTAATGAATGTCTAAATATAAATATATCAATTGTACAGTTTTTTGCATTATAGATCTTGTTAGTATGTGTAATTATAGTCCGATTCGGTACTAATACTACTTTAACATTAGACCTAGTCCGAAAACGGTAAATTTATCGTGTGATTGCATAATCTGTAAGGTTTTATGTGGAAGTCGCATCACTATCTACACTGACCTATCGTGTCGTGACAATTAACAATGATGCTTAGTACTTCTGAGGAACACATTTATTCTGGAGATAGAATAATATATTTAATGTGAATAGAAATAATTTAAACATAATGAACACGTCCGCAAGACTGAGCCATGCCATCCAATTGATTAAATGTCTCCACGTCCACCACTGCCAACCTTTTCCAAATGCTACATGTCGGATATACATCTTCTCAGTCCTTATATGCTTGGCTTCGGAGACCATGTGGTTAGCAAACAATGCCACTACAAGTATTCATCCGAATATACTGTCACAGTGAAGAAACTTATGCATACAACGCAACATTCTAGCGAAGCATCTAAACTGATGTAATACTTGCAGTCGTGTATAACAACAGAAATTTACTTTTAGGCTACCTGTGGAGAGTTGAACTTACATAGTCTTCACATCAGCAGCAGTAAGCTGCTTAACAGTTTGATCTTTAATACCGGCTTCAAGTTTTACTTTTCTTCTGAGGACATTCTACTGGTCCATGGATCACAAACCATCCATGAACTATTACAAGGATGATTGTGAAGCATCTTGTACGATTTTATGACATATTCCTCACCGTCCCAGTTTACACAGAACCTGGATTGGCAGTTTACAAACTTAGACCTTAAACGTCACATGTTAGTTAAAGTTTTCCGGGTTTCTTATTCACTGTTAGACCTAGTGGTTTACGTCTATGTCTAAATGAGCAACGAAACACCACAAATATGTATTTAAATCTCATGTCCTTCAGCAGTTTACCTTCGCCGCGAATGTACTGAGTATGTGTAATCTGAGAATAGATAGAATTATTCTCTCATACTTTTTGAAACTCTTTTAAGACACCATCAAATTCAATTCAGCCTCCGAAACGCCTGTTCAGTATTATGCGTTGAAACGCCTCGCTTAAGTCCACTGGAATGTCTCTTGAACACGAACCACTACAAAAAACACTTAATAATTATTAAAAAAAGTTATTTCTTGCGATAATACTTTAACAACTGAAGAAAGCACTACAAACATTTAGGACTTGCCGGTTACTTGAGATTTCGTCTTAATTCTTGCGAAAAAAAACGATTCACACAAAATCAGAGTATCTTTTACTGTTAATTTATTCTAAATACGCAGTGTTGTGAACCCCAACAAATTTTAGACAAGGACAGTGAGGCTCAGTAGGGTAATTGGTATTCCAGGTCAACTTACGAAGTAATAATAGAGCCAAATTGTACACTACAAAACAGAGGAAGCTAAATTAACGCTTTTCGCATTGATTTCGCGAATTTACTGCAGAAAAACACGATTCAAATACGAGGAAACCTGACATTCGTGCAACCCAACAGACATCCAACAGACTCTCAACAACTCAAATACGGAATGACCGCCTCCCGTCAGGCCGTCCAAGATCGTTAAAACGAAACGGCGGACGGCCTTAAAATTCGCTGACTTTTTTACCGTGCCTAAAGTTTTAAACAACGTTAGTTAAGTGAATGAATGACCACCAGATAACAGTCTTATGAAGCTTTATTTTATACCATAGGATGAAAAAAATTATATGATGACTGAAACTCGAGAAAATTTCACTTGTTATCCAACTTTCAATGATCTCTGTGGAAGTAAATTCTTAAAAGTACGTCTATTATTTCGTAGAAATTAGAAAAATATACTCAGCGTTAAATAATAGTTTTTCATGAAAAAAAATTCAACTATCAGAAAAGTGCATAATATGTGAGAAAATCTGTTAAAATAACAAAACTGTGGTTTTAACAAATATGAACTCGTAAAAAATGACTGTTTCACATACAATTTCACTGAATTCGCTTTAACTAAGAATGTATCCAAGTTTACTTGAATAAGTATGTTAAATTTTTGCAAATTATAGCATTATCTTTTTTGTTTGGTTAGAAGGATAACATCTCCCATTGAGACTGAACAAACAAGAAACTTTTTAAAGTATGAGGAAGACTACTAGAGTATATAAGTAGTTAAACATCTTTTATGAAAAAGCAAGCTATCCAATTTTTGATCTCAATAACGAATTAGTCTTTGAATAATCCTATTAAGATGTTGACACTCAACAATTTAAGTTGTAATTGACCCTGTTTATTTAACAAAAACAAAGTATTATAATTTTCATTGTTATTATATATAAATAATGAAACTGTGGAAAGTAACCAAAACGATGAAGAATATCCCTGACTGATACTAGGTTAAATATCAAAATACAATAATTAATTAGATTGTTCATAGTTCCACAATATTACGAGTTGACTGAAGTTGAAATTTGTTCTTCATTATGTAGAATAAGAAAACTGAGACTGTCACGAGTACGAAAATTTCAAAATTCTAAACTCAATCAGTACATAACACAATACTAAAATATCGTAGAAATGAGAATAATAATATTTTTTTAATCGTTGAAAAATTCTCTTGAAACCTACCCTGGTAATAATGCTTATTATCCAGAGTGATTAGGTGTCAAGTTGTTTTCACATTATTTTATCATTATTTCTTAACCTTATTACCCGTCTAGTTGACCTTTTATTTTTATATATAAATGTTCCTAACAAGTATATGTGTGATCAGATTGTTCGAAATGTATTGCGCTAATATATCACATAGTTCTGATAATCTTCGTCTTCTCATTGCATTATCGAAATTCTCATTGTATTAAAACATGATTAAATTATAATTGTGTTTTAAAATAATATTTGTCTAGTGACACTGTTATTTACCAGTCTACCAATCGATGTCGGTTGATAGTAAAAAGTAACTCCAAAATAAAATCCATTTTGGGAAATCATCCTTTTGAATAAAATGTAGTTCTTGGTGGTTGATGTTTACAGTGACTACATATTATTAATATACGTTAATGTGAAATAGGCACTGATGATTTTACTTAGAATGACAACAAAAGCTATATAATCCAACCATTCAATATGAAAAAACCCATCGTCATCAACAAGAGATCAGTATTATATATGACTACTGAAGGTTAAACGACATTTTCGTACTTCGACTGATCACCTTTAAACTTTAAATCGTGAAATTTCGAATAAAATGAAAGATATCCATCAAATTCAGTCAAATATGTCCATTTTGAGGTTTAACATTTTCTCAATTTTATAGGATATTTCAAGTTAGACAACAATTGTACTCATAAAGTAGCTTAGTTCTTTTTATTTCAAGATTATCTGATACTTGAAGAAAACTGGTTACGGCAGTGAAGAATTCATAATATCATAAACGTTCCAGTTATATGTATCATAATCATCTTAAAGAAACAGAGTAAATAATTTATATTCATAATGAACAGCTAGTTCTTGGAATAAATCTAGTTTGTGAAGCCAACTTTTGTAAATATTTTGATGCTTACACCATAACTGATATATGAGAATTTATCAGATTTTAGTTGCAACTAAAGTATTTGATAGAAATTTCACTATTTTATCAACAAGTTTACTATGGTTATCATTTTCTATTTTCATATATGCCTGACTACATATTTTTATTCTTGACATGCAAACATTCCCTTATATTTGTAATACTTTTTCTATTTGAGAGGAAACTTCGTCTCATTGAAAAACCGTAATATTTTCTTGAAAATTTTTTAGTGTTTATATTTTTTCTACTACCCTATTTAATATGAAACGATAGTCAAAATAACTGTTACAATTAGTTAAATTTTAATAGTTGAGATCATGAGTCGATTGAAGCTAGACCACTATGGAAAACTTAGAAACACTGGATGGCCGTTTCGCCCTATCGTGGGTCATGGCTTTGAATCTCGTGAGGCGATATAGTGGATCCTCGCTGATGAGTCCCACAATGGGACAAAATGGCCGTCCAGTACATCCAGGTTTTCCATGGCGATCTAGGTTCCATTGACTCATGATCTCAACTATTAAAATTACTACAGCATCCATAAAAACCCCTTTTTGAAATTAATTTAATCTTCGAAATAATTGTCATTGTCATTTTCGTTTCATTGCACTTTGGTGCATTTTTCATGTTTAATAATTCTGATAAAATCCTTCTGGAATTTTCCTAATTTTAATTATTTTACTTCAACATTACTAGTTAGACATTGTTAATCATTCGATCATCTTTTTAATACTGACTATTAATTCTATTTTTCATAACATTACACAATAGCTACATAAATTTGAAATGTTGCTAAGCAGAATTCTATACATAAATTGAATATTGAATAAATAATTTCCAACACAAAAAGCTTTTTTTGATAAAGCTCTACTTGTGGTAAATCTTGAAAAGTATAAATAATAAATAGTATAACAATAATTGATTTTAAGCTTAAAAGTCAGCACTGTATTTTGAACAGTATAGCCGACTACCAATCATAAATAATTAACTATACTTGATAATGTTATTAATAGTTTTAATACAAACAACTTTTAAATATAATTCTTTATAGTTGAGATAATGAACCAATTGAAGCTAGACCACCATAGAAAACCTGGAAGCACTAGAAGGCCGTTTCGTCTTATTGTGGAACTCTTTAGCAGTGGTCATCCACGATCCCACCTTGCGAGATTTAACAGGTGTTACAGATAGATTAGTAACTGGGTAGTACTGGGTAGTTACAATTTGGTTGACTCTATAACAATTTGTTTTACAAACTCGGAGAGGATTTAATTCTGGTTTTAACCGTTGAAATGAGCGTGGTAACTTTAAACTACAGAGTTTAAATCTTATGTGCTAAATATTCAGCTTAGTATTAATTCGCTTAGAGAAAAAAGAATACATATTCACTATTTAATCATGCACACACAAAAATAGCATCTATTGTTAATAATGACTAATTTTTTTCCAAAATAACAGCGCCGGTCAGAGTGCAAAATGTTGGCCTTTCGCTGGATGTTGGCTAATGAGAAGGTTCAAAGCTTTCAACATGATTGTGACTATAAATGCACAAATTATACTGAAAGTACTATTAAAGATTATATTTCTTGCTATTTATAAATAACAGGAAGAATAAAGAGCTCAAGCACTTTCTCATATCATATATTACTCACTAACAACTTGTCAAGCGTTCATAGATATCAGTAAATCAATTGACTATTCATTAACTGGATTCTTCATTTGTTATATAAGAATTAATTACTTGAATCAATTGTTCAGATCAAACTGTTTAAAATGAACTATGCCTTTTAAAATCTCATGAAATTGTTAATTATTTATAAATTAGCTTTGAAGATTATCCAACTAGTTTACGTATTAAAATAAACGACCAAACAACTCACAATAAAATTTTTTGAGATACCTAAAACTGCTTGATTATTTCTAGATCTAATATTTTCGATATCTTTACTGTGAGAATGTGTTTTACTTTTAAATAAGCAATAAAAAATTGCATATTCAAATCGATCATATAACTATTCGTAAACTTCAAACTATACTCGATTTTATGGATGTTTACTCATCGGTTAACGATTTAACTTTATCAGTTACATCAATATCTATAAATGTTGATTCGTTTTTATAATGTAAATATAAACTTATCTAATTTATCAGGGTTTTTTGTGGAGATTTTTAGTAATTTTATCATATATGGTTGAAAGCATGAGTCAATTGAAGCTAGATCACCATAGAAAACCTGAAAGCACTGGACCGCCGTTTCATCCCATTGTGGGACTCCTTTAATCAAATTTATCTTTGCATATTTTATATTTCTCATAACAACAAAAAACTATCCAATTAAAATATTTACAAACGATCTGAACAAGAACTAAGTATTTTCTATGAATAAGCTTCATTAATAGTTAACACTTATATCATGGTTATATTTCATTAAACCTACGTTTATTTTTCTGTAAATTTATCTGTATCATACCTTATGATTCTAATGAAAAAAATTTTTTGTTTTGCAACTAATTATAAAATATGCTTAATATGGAAAAATAAAATGCATAGTTACTGACCAAATCGATTTTAATTATATCCAACACTTTCTGAAAAAACATAAATCGAATAGTTAGAAAAAAAAATTTGGATTTACAAAATCGGGTTAATAAATTGTAGCTTGACCAAAAATGAATGAACAAAATATTTACTTAAAAAATTTAAACAATGTTAATATAATAAGCTAGATGAGGTTAGAAATTCCAGCGAGAAAATGAAAACCCATTCGAAACATGATTGATAAACAAACATAATTATCATTTATTGATGATGTAATGTACGTATATGAAATTATGATAAATAAAAGGTAGGAGAAAAAAGGTCTCAAGTGTAAGAAGGCAAAAACAATGATATTTTTTTGTGTGTTGGAGTTCATATTGTCAGTATGTATATATATAAATATATTCTTATAGTCATTCTCTTTAATATTGATTTTTTATCATTTTTACAATTGCTCATTTCTTTTTTAAATGTTGATATTCCCTGACGATAAAATTTTGATTTGATATAATAAATTAATAATCAATAATATTATATTTTAATAAATATTCGATTTTTTATTAATTAGTCGATATAAACATTGTTCTTTAGCTTTTTTTGGTTCCAAACCCATTAATGTCCAATCACATGGATTATAAAATGATTCTGTACCACCACATATAATTTGTTCATAATTTAATTTTTCCATAAATTTTTTCTGAAATAAAAGTAAATTCAATGATTATTTATCTTTTAAGTAATATATTAAAGTTAATATACTTTTATATAGAAAGATTTTACTTTATAGAAATAATTTTTTTACAAAAATTTTGATTATACTACTAATTAATTCACGTTCATTAGTATATTGTGTTAAATACATTTAAGTAGTAGTTACTTGTCAACAGTATTATGTTATATTGTTTTAAATAGTGTAACTGAAGTTATTGGTATTTTTAATCACAAATAGAATACAATTATTATCAGAAGGGGTTTTGTGGAGATTTAGTATTTTCATAGTTACAAGCATGAGTCATTTAAAGCTAGACAATCAAAAGATAACTTCGAAGCAATGGGCGGCGCACTGCTGAGGAGTCCCACAACAGGACGAAACGGCCGTCTAGTGATTCTAGGTTTTTCCACTGTGGTCTTGCTTCAATTGAATCATGCTTGCAACTATGAAAATACAATTAATTTTTTGTGGAAATAAATTTATCAGAATATCATTATTATCTGCTACTTTGAATGATCAGTCATATGTAATTAACTAGATACACATCTAAATTTTATTGAATACTCTCCGAAATGACATTTTATAGAAGAACATTAAATATGCTTACATTAATTTACTCTATTCATTTGAATTCATGTAATATGAAAAGTATTTTTTTCTTCATATAAAAACAATCATAAAATCTTAATAGTTGAGATGATGAACCAATTGAAACTAGACAGCCATGGTTAACATGGAAGCACTGGACGGCTATTTCGTCCTATTGTTTGACTACTCAGCAGTGCGTATCCACAATCCCGCCTAGCGAGATTCGAACCCAGGACTTATCAGTTTTAACTAGAGAAAACGTCAAACTGTATGTATTTTATCTTATATTCTAAGCATATTCTTTGATTTATTCGTTATTTGATCAATTTATAAATTAGTTTTATTTTAAAATATTTGATTTAAATAATATTTTACTCACCATTTTTGAATTTCTTTCCCAAACATAATGATATGATCCATGAGTTGTTGCTCTTAGAAATTGTTCCGCTGTATATTTGATCAATGCTCGATTAATTTCATCTGTTGCTGAAACTCTAAGTGTTGATATAAATGCCGAGCTAGATGGTATTGGTGGAGTATTTGGTTTGGCCCATTCATAACATTTAGTAACAAAGTCAAGAACTGATGTTATTTTACCTGGTGCATACATATCACTCAGTTTAGATGTTGATAAAACTAAGTTGGCACCATTCAATTTACTTTCTGAATCATCAGCTTGTAGAGTTATCTAAAAAAATGTCACAAAAATGTGATAATAAGCATGTGGCAGACATATGTCAGAACACCTCAATGACTTTTCTAAAATGATCACTTATATTCAACAACATACACGTGGTTAAAATTGGTAAAGAACATAAAGCATATTTTCATGCATATCAATAAAATTATCAAGTACATACATATTTTAAAGACGGATGAAGAAAATAAAAGCACTTACAGAGGACATCAGTTGATCTGCTGATTTCCAAGCAAGATATATGTGTGTATAATACATTGAGTGAGGAATGTTCAAGTCATGTACTTTTGCTTCACCTTCCTCCGTGAGATTAGTGAAATAACTAACTATTCGGTACAGTGGTGCACTGGTTATTGTTTTTATAACATAGCCTTTGTTAGACTGATTACTTAGGTTCAGTCTTGTGTCTTCCGATTTTAAACCGTTGGGATATGATGTTACGACTGGAACAAATTTAGGAGAACTCATAATGGTGCGTAATATTATTGCACAAATGAAAATGTATGCATACATCATCTACAAATAAAATGAAACAACAGGATGAAATACAAAATATGTATATTTACCCTTTGGAAAATTTCAAATGTTCGTTTGACAAGTTATAAGTAAGATTTTATCACGTTTACTATCTACTTATCGCGTGTATATTTATATTTTTCTTAAACCTATGAGAGACATATGATTTTGAAGTCATAGGTTCGGCTTATTAACCAATCCCGTTAGTAAGCCATAAGAATAATATTTTCCTCTAGATGGTGTTATCCTTCTTTCACAATAGGTAAATATTATTTTTAACGGGATATTATTGGTTAATAGTATGCATCCCCTTAATAATAATGTTATTTTTATTTAGTCAGTATAATATTAGAAATATATGAGCAGGGGCATTAAATTAAAGCAGGTAAATGTAGCTGAAGATTTTTAGAGGATAGATCACATCAAATTTTCAGAATGAATCCTGTTATTTATCCATTAATAAAAATGGAACATAAAAGTTGACAATTTTAACCTCAACCTGTATGATAAATTTATTTAGTTAACGTTTATTACTAAGTAAACCTTTATTTTTCCATTCAACACACTTTCCGATGAAATTAAAAAATATTTTCTTAAATTTGCAATCGTAATTAATAATCTATTCAATTCACTGATAGGTCCTGGGTTCGAATCTTGCGAGGCATCATCGTGGATGCGTACTGCTGAGGAGTCTCACAATAGGACGAAACGATCTTGCAGTGCTTCCAGGTTTTTCATGGCTGTCTAGTTTCCATTGATTCATGATCTCGACCACATAAAATTACTAAAATCTCCGCAAAACCCCCTTCTGAAAACTCACTAATTGTTGAATATGTATCAATAATTAACTTGCTCGTTCATCTAGACACCCTATCAATTCAGCTGGAACTGTATTCCTAAAACCTTTAATATTCACTTTATTTCAATCATGATATGATACTTTCAACTTTCTTATGAGTAAGAATTGTTATAACGTATGACTTCTTGTAAATATATATGAACGTGCAATGATACAGAAAATACGTACGAGCAGTCTTGGGTGCTATTCGGTCCTTCCTATCTGCCTAGCCCAGCCGTTAAGTCCAGAACACAAATAACAGCCTCAGCAATATGAATCATTATTTACAAACACACTGGGTTTTTATACAAACCAAAGTAATCAATAAACTGATTATAACTCAAGAATCGTATGATCATAAATCAAAGATCAAAATAAAGCTCATGATAAGAGAAACACGAACATGAATAGTTTAGTTACGTAACAATTGTATAATAGGAAATAGGCATAATACACTGGTCGATAAATAGTCCTTAGAGTTACCATTCATAATTCACCAGGGGATATAACACCTCCCCTTTTTGAGAAATCCGGAGTTGACATCCGGATTTTTAATTTCTCGAATTCATCCCCCCCCACGAAAGACTGTTGGATCCTCATGAACCCAAGTTACCATTATTGTGACATTATTTAAAACATATTAGTCGTATTTAACTGAGAATCCACGAGAACTTATTAGATCGTGAGGATCGACTACATTCGATTTGAGGTCACCAGCGTCTGATTCTTCTGAAACAGTTTCCTTGAATTTACTCGGAACCTCATTAGTAAATAATGAATCATTAAGATAATCAGTATCTATGAAAGTTGTATTGGATTCTTGATTATCATTTAATGCATCCGATATTTTTCTCCCATTTTTATAAGAGATTTGAACTGGAACATATGAATCAGCAAAATAATCGGGATCTGGCAGAACAATTAAATAATCTTGATCACTAGATTCATAAAAAAACTTTTTTGCATCATGACTGGTTTGATTTAGCGCCACTGTATTCAATATACTGCACGATTTGTTCCCCGTTTCTTCGTGGGCGGGTACTACAGTAATTCCATGAGCATTTAGCAAAACATTGTCTTTCTGTAAACAGGTTGATCCACTGTTTGCACGTCCGTTTTCGGGGTTTATAGGACTTGGACCGTGTATAGGGCATGTCTCTGAAACAGGCAACACCGGACTACTGGGCTGATCATGTAGGACTGTTACTGCTGCATCTAAATTACTGTTTTTCGCGGATTCATAGAGGTTTTCCTCTGCATATTCATTTGTTCTGTAATCGACTTCCAGTTCTATACGCAATTTAGAAATCAATGCGTCAACTTCCGTTGCACCCCCAAAGCATGGGTGATTCAGCAGCGTCGCGTGTAACTTGTCAATGAAATCCAACTGACTCTTTTTAAAACGCTGCTCTTGTCTCTGAATTAGCAACTGAAATTGATCGGAAGTTAAAGCCATTTTTTTTTACCCCGTCGTCAGTTGTTATATCGTATGCGCCCGTAATATGTATGAACGTGCGATTAGAGAGGAGTGGATTTTACTGATCGGATGCAAATGATACTTGAAATACGTACGAGCAGTCTTGGGTGCTATTCGGTCCTTCCTATCTGCCTAGCCCAGCCTGTTAAATCCAGAACACAAATAACAGCCTCAGCAATATGAATCATTATTTACAAACATACTGGGTTTTTATACAAACCAAAGTAATCAATAAACTGATTATAACTCAAGAATCGTATGATCATAAATCAAAGATCAAAATAAAGCTCATGATAAGAGAAACACGAATATGAATAGTTTAGTTACGTAACAATTGTATAATAGGAAATAGGCATAATACACTGGTCGATAAATAGTCCTTAGAGTTACCATTCATAATTCACCAGGGGATATAACAAGAATGAATATGGCTCAATGACTACAAAGGAATTAAAAGCAAGTTAGCATTGGATGCTATGCTTATATCAATAAAATTTCCGATGTGAGGATGGTATATGTTTATGTTTATAAATTCTCAACCGTACTCATTCATTACAGTTAAGTTGCAAGATCAAGATGATTGCATCATTTCAGTAATAATAAATATTGTGCTTAATGAAGATGATTGTAAAATATGCAAATCTCTTTCATTTTATAAAAAATAATTGCACTTTGCGTTTTCTACTTAGAACACTTCTTAAGAGTTTTAAGTGGGTCAAAAACGTTAATCATTTGTTGATTAAAAAATATTTCTAGACAGAAATGGAACATAGTTGTTAAGTCAGTTAAAAATCAAAGTTGCGGTTTCACAAATATTGTTTGATGTTTATTAGTATTTCTCTAACATGTTAAACCTTTATTAGTTGGAGATGGTCGGTGAAAAAATCTAACTGAACAAATATTTTATGATATCTGGCATTCATCATAAAACCGTTCCTGTAATCTTAAGAGAACCAATGTCTCCCTAGTAGATTCAGTCCCGTGACACCCAGCTCCATAGTCAAAGAATACAATACTGAGCTAGTTAGGGCGCGATTGATCTCCTGTAACAATGAAAATTTCACAAATAATTGATTATTAAGTTTTTTAGAGCTGGTCGAGTTCTGTCGATTGTCACAAACTGTATGTTAAAGTAATGTTAAGTGAAATCCTAAAATATTTTGACTAAATAGTTACATATAAAGTAGTTTTTGTAAATGTTTATCGCTTCTTTTCTTTTATGAAACAATAAGAATGTTATGTATTTTGTTATCCTAGTTTAAACTTGAAGGTTATGCATTTAGTTATCAAGTTGAAAACAATATAGTAACCAGAAAATTCTCTTGGTCATCTTGAAAATCCGTAAAAATATAGAGATTCATGTAAAAGTTTTCTATTCGAATTGGATGTTGTTTCCAGAAAATTGTTTATAAATCTCATCAATAAAAATTTCCACATTAATATTATTATTACTACAACGTCCGATGATAAACCATACGTTTATATGGTAATTTTATATAGTGGTAAACTGAAATGAAATATAATTCAAATTCATTTAAAACCAACTTATTAGTGGTAGAATTTTTCTGTTTAACTAATACACTACTGTTTTTCTTAAATATTTATCTGCACACAAAGGTTATATCAATGAAAATTAGTTTTAAATGCTCTACTGTCAATATTCTTCTTTCAGTTTTTTTTAAATTTCAAACTTCCTGATTGATTTCGCTTGGTGTTGTTGACTTGTATTTCCTATTATTATTTAGGACCACAATTGATCAGTATCTTGTTGGCATATATGTGCATCCTGTGCGACTGCCTCGATATTATCTTAAGTCACAAACGTTATAAGCAAAGATGGACATTGGTTAGCAGTGGAATCCAGGAAGCGCGTTTCGTGCTTTTTAGGACTCGTCAGCTGGATGTACCTGATTGATTTGTAATTTAAAACCCAGTAACCTTCTTAATAATTAAGTCTCAGTAAAATAATAACTAAAATAAACTCTCATTACTTTAGAGTTAAGAAATTAACTAGAAAATGGAAGTATCATTATATCATTTAATCATTCGATATTGCGTGAAACTTATTCTAAATAAAATACACGAATATACTAAATAAGTTCCAGAATAAAACAAATCATCAAAACTTGAGGTCTGATTTCTGAAAAACGTACATGCAAAGAAGACAAGAAAAAAAGAACTTCAGACAAACTGTGTATTTTTTTTCTTTTTGATTATTCGCCGGATTTCAATACTTTATTATTCTTCTACATTTCATCAACATACAATTTCTATTTGTTTACAGTCGGCTAAAATTAAAAGTTTGTTTGAAAAATAAAAAGTTATACAAAAAGTTTATGGTCACTTACATGAAACATTCGAAACAAAAAAACAAGGGAAAATACAAGTTTGCAACAGTTGAACTAATTTGGTTCAACAAGAGTTTCTGCTATATTTAACTACTTATTATTACTATTATTGTTATGATTATTATTAATTATCCTACTGTCCATTATCTGTGTTGTTTATAAAATATATAAATTGTCAAAGAAGAAAAAGAAAGAAAATTTCCAGTCTACCACAAAACTAGTATTATATAACTTTTAAAATAAAAAAAATTGAATTCAGTTTAAATATTGTACCTCTTATGTAATCAGTCGGTATTAGTTAAGCTAGACTTTTGTAGTAACAGCTTTAATAGTTTTATTAAATGTGAAAAAAACAACAATGAAAGATGAGATGTTTCTTTTCACCGAAACTGATTATTAAAATAAATGAAAATTATTATTACATTTGTATTAGAAAAGTTAC